GTACAGAACGGCCTACAAGCGACTGCATGTATAGAAGTCAATAGTGTACAGCTCTATAAACCAAATGGTAAGAAAGTTCCATTAAAATTTGACTTTAAAAAAGACCCAAAAACCTCCCAGAAAAAAATACTGAGAATTGGTTCAGTTTTTGTTGCCCAGAGGTCCAGATTATAAAACCACTCAGAGACTTTCCTCTTACAGTCCAAAATGTGTACTTCTTGCTATTTGAGAGTATCTACTTTCCAAGGCATTGGGAAACCCCCTAATTATTTACTGTAGCTCTTCAACTTCTCTTTCCATCTTCTCCTATCCATTGGAAAGTACTTTGAAGTCATATAAAATGAACCTGATACTTCAGTTTGTTTTTCCTGTCTTATACCATCAGTTCTAGCAGATCATGTCTGCTACCTTTTTAGCAGTAAAATTAAGAGTGTCAGATGCTTACATTCTGAATTTGTGCTTAATACAGAGATGTATTTGTTCTTGGTAAGTTTTTGTATCAAGACCCCAATGGTGATTTGCTCTAACACACCTGCATGGATCTCTAATGTGTTTGTTCACCTGAACTTTGTTTCCATTAGGTATTTCTTCTGTCAGTGACAATTTTAAGTATCTGCTCTCACTGACTTCAAGTTCATGCTGGAGATTTACTGCCGTCCTGGCCAACATCTTTGCTTCTCAAGTTGTTCCACCAGGAACTTACAATACTCTTAAACTTGCAATATTGCTGAGTCTAGTACAGACATCTGAAAAAGAAAATGCAGATTATTTGGATCTCTTGATTATGACAAGTGACGCACTAGTAATTGACAGGTAAAGAGATTCCTTTTTTTCCAACATAAATTAGAATTTAAAAGATTTTAAGATTGGTCTTACATGAAAAGCTAGAGACTTTGTTTTAAAAGAATATACAAGGCACCAACGTAGTTAAATACTCGATTTTCATCCCTGGGATATTTTAGTTTCTTTCAAATGATAAATCGAGATCAGAACTTCATTAATTCTAAAACCTCTTAAAAGTCTCCTAAGATTATGGTAAGAATTTAACACTAGCACAGTTTTGCAGAGCTCAGATAAAACATTCTTCTAAAATCAAAACTGAAAGCTGTCCCAGAAGCTTGTAACAAAAAAAAGGGTTCGACTTCTCAAACCTTGTGTCAATTTAAGCCCTCTCATCACTGACTCACAGCTATCAGCCTTTTGAGTAAATAAGCAGTGTGTATAAACAGATACTTACATTTTTATCTTTTTCGTAAAAAAAATTCTAATAAGGCATCAGAATTCACATATATTTTTACACATAGACTATAAATCTGGTTGTTGTTGCCTTTAAATATTTTTTACTATGCATCTTATGTATTTACCTGTTCATGCAACAATAAAACTGTTAACACAATTTAACATACACTTCAGAAAAGTACAATATGCTCAGATTTACATTAATTTAAACAAAATTATTTTCTCCTTCCGTAACTTAAGATCTCTGAAAGGGGTTGGAATTTTATTTTCATTTGGAAGTTATTCAATCAATTCACTAATATTTTTTGTTGCGAAAAAAATCCCAAAACTTTGACCACTTCAAAATTTAGCTGTAAAAATTAGTTGAAATTTTTAAAAACATGAACTGCAAGACTTCTTTTCTCCCAGGTTAAGATTTCTTAAAAGAAACAGGAGTTCAGTGTTTTAAGAATAAAAACATCTGGTTTATATTAAAATGGTTGCACACTGTAAATCATGATCAATATTGTAATTTGTACTATCTTGCACATATACCATATTTACTGTCAGCAGCCTGTCAAAGTAGGCATTTCCTACATATTTCCATTGGTGCAATACCTATTTACTAATTCTTACTAATTTTACTTAGTAATTTTCTCCCAGGTCATAATAGTAGGGCAAACCATGCTCTGACATCTTAAAATCATTAAGAGCCTTTGATTGTGGAACCAGACAGACAATTTGCAACTTCTCTGTGCCAAAGAACATAGTACAGGGGATGAAAAAGATAGTTTATATCTTCTTTCTCCAAAAGAATTGGAGGGGAGTGTGTAACTCAGGAAGGCAGAGCTTGCAAGTTCCAGCCTTTTCATTTTTCCCAGATGGCCAGAATTACTAATCCTCTAAACTTTAAATCACTGGAAAAGTTTCTGTAGAATAAAAAGAGGAGTTAACAATGTGGAGTTAAATTACAAGATGTATTTGGTTTCCTAGGAATTACTTCTGCAACATGATTGATTTGCCTCATGTTTAATCCATAAGAAATACAGTCTTGATGACAGCTGTTGGACAGCAGGCTTGAATCTCTACTTTTGTATTAAAAGTTAAACAATTAGTTCTGATGCTGGTTTCATGTTAAGGATGTTTTTTGTTGTTGTTTCTAATTTACTGAGTTTTTTTTAGAAGTGAATAATTTAACAATTTATGACTGACAGAATTATTTAATCCTCCAGGCTTCTGAATTACAGCTTATGTCTTCTGCCTCGTGGCATACGACACCCCCCTTCCAGCGACATTTTTCCTTCTGTGTCCAAAGATAAACACGGAACTGGAAGTGCCAGTATTCAAGCTTGCAGCGCTGTGCTGGCCAAGGGTGGCATCTGTTACCTAGGAGACTTAAATTCATATAAAAAGGATAAACTTGAACTTCTACAGTCTGGTAATCTCCCACCTCCTAACAAATGAGGGGACAGAACTAAACAAGTACAAGCAAATTCAAGGCTAGGTTTGTTCCCCAGCTTATGGCCCTCAAATGCTGCAAAAATCTGTGTGCTGGTTTTAATGGGTATGTGTAAGATACATGACAAAAAAGCCAAGGTCCTGTAAACTTAAATCTGCTATGCTACAGATATTATTAATCATAATAATTCAGCAAAATCATAATCATGACTGATTTCAGATAGAATTTACAACTAAGCTAAATCTGTCACATAACTGATGAATTTTATCTTATCCTAGTGCTAGAGAGCAGAACAACAACAGTATTTATTCCTGGGAAGAAGTATGGAGAAGAGGCTGACCAACAAGTTACTGTTTCAGTTCAGACCAACTTTTGGTCCTTTGTAGATGTGGACTCTTCCTCAAAGAAACATATACACAAGGAGAACTTTCTAATTGGACAGATGGTAAAGCACATGCCTTGTTATGAGAGGAACTGTGCTACAGCAGTCATTTGTGTTCATTTCCACTTATAAAATATTGAAAACAATAAAACTTGTTAGTATTTCCCAGAAAGTCACAACTTAAGCAACTTTAAATCACGTATCTTCTAAAATGAGATAGCTTTCCCAAAAAAATAGGTGTCATTCAAACAAAATTTTACCAAGTACTACAGGTAATTCTTTAGATAATCTTGCAGTATAAGTGAGTATAGGATATTTCAGATATAAAACATGGATGGTGGTGCTTCTACAAGTCAAAAGCCCAAAATAAAGTAGATGTTTTCTTTCTCTGGGTCTTTTCTTTAGGATGTGAGTTTGATTCCAGTTAACCTTGTAGATGGTTTTGGACTCTTGATCTACAATGAGTTTCCTTCCTGTCGTCCGTCTTCTCCTGTTGTACATCATATCTTGAAAAAAGCCATGAATCCTGAAGCCATGCTGTACAAAGTCTCACAGCAGTTCAGAACACAGGATTATGAGGAGGTAACAGATTATACACAATAATTTAGAAATGCATTATATTTGTGAATATCATACTGGGTTTGGCATCAGAAGGTTCTCTCTGCTGTCTGCTTACTTTTAATACTCACTTTCTATCCTTTCCCCCACCATATTTCCACTATCACTATTAGGATCATTAACAAAAGCAGCTTCAGTTCTTCAAAAGGGTCACTATAACAAATAGTTTGAGCATGTTTCTGGAAAATGTACTAAGTTAACATTCATACAAGAGCAGATCTCCAGTATCTATATTGACCAAATAGTTTACAAGCCGTAGTAGAAGTTAATATTCCATTCTAATTAAATTGTCAATATCTGTAACATAACTAACAGATAATTTCCCCCCCAGAAGTATTCAAGTTCAGGTTGGATGCAGCTCTGAGCAACCTGGTCTAGTGGAAAGTGTCCCTGCCCATTGCAGGAGAGTTGGGACAGGATCATCTTTAATGTCCCATTCTATAATTCTGTTTACTATCCAAGATCTGTCCTTATTATTATCCTTCATAACTTCCTTATTCAGCATAGCCAAATGGTGACAACTGTCTTTCCTATTAAAACTACTGGTAGAATATATTGTCCAGCTGGTATTACTATGCTACTGCTGTATTAAAAGTTGTGGAGAAAAGGACAATTCCTTATTTTCCAGTTAAATATTTAAAATGTATGCCCTCTCTCTAGTTTATTTTGTTTGCTAGGAATCTTCATGCTGTACTGAGTTCAGAAGCAGAAAGTCTCATTCAGGGCTATTATCTTGCAAGTCGCAGGGTGAGAAGAGATTCCATTCATGGATCAACATTATCAGCCTCTGCACTAAAAATTCTGTATGTCCTACTTTCCATTTTCAAAGAGAAATTGTGCTAATCTGCTCAGGAGCTTGTTTAATAAAAATCTACATAAGACTCTTGGTTTTGAAAACTTCAAGCATAAATAATCTTACTATTTATGAATGCCATTTATTTTATATATTGACACTGCTAAAAGAAACCCAAGTTCAGACAACTTTGCCTGGCAAAACAAAACAAAAAAAACCCCAGCTATTTTAAAACATGTATCATTATTAAAGCTATCTAGAAAAAAAAGGGACTTGAAATAGATACAGCTTTATTATGGAAGCAAAAAAAGTATTTATGGATAACATTCTAAGTTCCACTTTTTAGCACAGAAAGTTAATGTATAATATGTATTTTGTCAGTGGTAAGTGTAACTGCACAGCTGACTTATGAAAAAACCACCCCAGTGTTAACTTGTGATTTACACAAGTGTTTGACAGAGGCTAATAGACACTGTACTCACACCTTCAGTATTTTTTATTTCTGACATGCTTATATTGATCTCTTAGGATTTCACTGGCTAAGGCTCATGCCAAGCTCAGTTTAAGAGAGACAGTACTTGAGGAAGACGCAGTGATTGCCATCTTGTTACTGGAGTCATCACTGACCCTAAAACATGGTAAATAATGCACAACAGTTCCTTAATCTTGGGTGCATCACTGTCACATTTTGTCAGTCTGAAAACATTCTACATCCATTGATTGTAATAGCAGGTTTCAAATCAAAATCCAGAACTTCCACTGAAGACTGGTATTGGAGAAGTCTGTCCGTTTGTCCAGTGCTGTATGTAACAAGGTCACAGGCCAGCACCAAGTCTGTCCTTCATACTGGTTTATTTAAAGCACTGCTACTCTAACACTGGCTCAGGTTACACGAAGGACAGATTTCCCTCCCTGGGGAAACCAAAAGCAAGGGTTGGAGGTTTTTTTTTGTTTATTAAGCATCAGTCATATTTGCTCACACACAGATTTGATGTGAGATAAGAATTATGATCTAGGATTGCATTACTAAGTAATTTGCATCACAGCTCTTTTTTCCCCTCAAAGTAGTGGCAAACAAGTCTTAAAGCTTAATTTCTTCTTTGCCTAGGCACATCTGCATTATGTGTAGCACCAAATCCTGTATTTCCATTTGACCTCAGTGATGAAAACTCGCTGCAACAGAGAGATATTTACCTCATCCAGTGTCACCATCAACTGCTGAAGTTTATTGCTGCCTATAGCCCAGGAATTCATATTAACACTCATGAAGAATAAAAACTCCACTTGAAGTAAAGCCTCAGGCTTTGGCTTTTTGAGAGGCTACAGTTAGAAATACAGAATTACTAAAAACTTAGAAGACAGTTCAGTGATGTTTTACCAAGTAATAAAGCATAGCTAACCGGACTTGAATTACAAGTTTTGTGAGTTATTTGAAGGCAGGAGGGATGCCCTCACACTGGAAAGCCAAGGTCATAGAGTCCTAACCAGAACTTCCCTTCCTGGCTACCACTCTCCATTCACAGTTAAGCAAGGAGTAATTTAGGATTCAGAATTTTTAATAAGACTACAACTGAAAATTAAATCGCCAGTTCAGAATATAGTATTTTATTTCAGCTACCTGAGTTCTGCAGTTTTTCTTGTTTCTTCCTTTCAAATGTATCACCCAAAGGGTTAAAGAGTTTTAAGAACATTAAAACTTTTCTTTTCATAGTTTAAGTCAACAGTCTGTACTTACTCATGGTGTATAGATTTGGAAATGTATAAAAGTATTATCATACTGCTTCATGTTCTGTGGTTTTTGTTCTTTTTTTTAATTGCATTACAGCAAGGTGAGATTAGACAAGGCTGTCAGATGCTTCTGCAACCAAAACCCAAGCAAAACAAAAAAGCCTGCAAAACAAACAAACCACAAAAGAAACCCACCAAACCACCCCAACCTGCAAAACCCAGTCTTTCCACATTATTTTATATAGAGTGCAGGGAATAGTAGAGTGCTACAGTCAGGTAAAAAAAACATTAGATAACCTGGTAGGCAGGTAGCTCAATGAGTTCAACTCTACCTCACTGTAAAAACAAATGAAGAATGCATGGTAGGAGATGAGGTGTTTAGGGCACAGTATGCTTCCCCAGCTATGAGCTTTCCTGTGCTTCATTTTCCTAGTAAGGATATAGCATTGGACATAATCCTCAGCAAGCCCTGCCTCTGAGAGATACACATTAAATAAAAAAAGCTGCTGTAAAGTTGTACAATTTTCTGTCAAATCTGGACAAGCTGAATACTTAAGGCTTGTGTTACTTCTACCCAGGATGTAATCCAGCAGGATCAGAGTGCTACTGTTCCCATAGCATCACCAAAAAAAATAAAAGTTACTGACAACAGAAATCCAAAATTTTACTGATACCCACTGCTACAGACAACACAAGTTTTCCCACATTTTAATTTCTGTCTTAATCACTTTTGATCCATTTATTTGATACACTCAAAAATTCATACTAAGTTCAAAGACTGCCCATAAGGCCACTTCTCTTTCTAGAGTGACACTCTACCCTGAACTTCATTCCAGGATTATTCATTTTCAGTGAACAGCTACTCCCCTGCCGTACTATGGAACCAAGCAGTATTTCTGATGGGGAAGAAGGGCAATGGAAGCATTTCCGAGTGCGTTAGAACTCCACATTCCAGGCTGCTGTTTTCAAGCTAAGAACAATAACAACAATAATGAGTTAGTTTCCTGTACCCTTAACCAATCAGTACAAAGGTATTACCCTCACTGGCATTTCAGATCTCAAGATACACATCAAAAAACATTCAGATGGGTAAACGGCAGAAGTCTCATCATTATGCCAGAAAAATTACTCTTTAAGGGTAGACTGAAATAGAATTCCTTTATAAGTCACTATTTTTGAAAAACAATACTAAGGGATTTTCTGCAAAAGGAGCACAACATTTTATCCTTGCTTCTCCCTACCTTCTCCCATGAGTTCTGACAATTGGAAGACTTCTAGCAGTACCACAAGGAAAGGACAGTTGCCAACATGGCCAGTAGACTTTCCCTGGATGGCAGTACAGCCTGCAGGAGGCCTGAGAACTGTGACAGTAAAAAAGCAACTGACCTCCTTGAACACCCACACTTCTACAAGTGGGTGGACTCTCCTGTTGGCCCTATGTGCACACACAAGGCTGGAAGTCAGTGGAGGTGGTCATCTGCTGTCACAAAACCTTAAAAAAAATAAATAAAATCAGAAATGACAGGAGCAAATCAAATTGGGAAAACCCTACTGATTAGCTGGCACATCAGATATACAACACTGCTCATCACAACATTCAGTTGGGTAAACGGCAAAGGGTCATCATCACTATGCCAGCAGTTTCCTGCCTATGTAACATTGCTTTTTCCAGGTACTAAATACAGTGGAATTGGTTAAGTCTGTCTCAAGAGCTGTACTTCCATAACCTGAAGCAGAGCCTTCGTTTTAACTGCTAAGCTCAGAACAGACTGAGTAAAGCCAAGAACAAGAGAAAAACAGTTCTGGGCACAAAAAATGCAGGTCCCTCTTACATTCAAACTCCAGATGCCAAGTATCTTTCCAGAGGTAAAGCTCACTACCACAGCCACCTTTCCCTTTGGAATATATTCCAAGACTGAGACTGACACAGTTGAAGTTGACAGCTGACACAGTCTGATCACATGGATTGTGATCTGAACATACTGTTTTCACATAATTCTCTCTCCTTCAACTAACATCCATGAATTCTTCAAATCAGAAGTCATGTTTCCCCAGTTAAAAACTAGGTTCTCTGATACAAGCCTCTCCCTTCTGACTCCTTCGGGATTCTTGGATTGCACCTCCTTTGTTCTGGGGAGAAGTCTTAGATTTTATAGCTGCCATATTATCTTCTGTTAGGATTTCCATCTCTTAACCCTACATACAATCAAATTTTTTCTTTTTCCATCTGTAAGTGGATTTTCAAGCCATTAAACAGCTTCACTTTTGATCCGGATTTCATGATGCTTCCCTCAACATCTTTAAGTAGAGTAAGAAATACTTACTTCTGTAGCTCCAGAATTCACGTGGCATCTTTCTGTTTGCAAGGCATGGCAGAGTCCAGACTAAGGATTCCCAAAGCCATTAATAAACTCATCTTGATCCTCACTTTCTGCCTAAAACAAAGAAAAGATGATGTTTGATTCAGAGAGCTCCACTGCTGAGCGAGCAGCAGAAAGCAGTTAACATTCCTTCAGGAAAAGTAAGCCTGTCCAAGAAACACAAACCCCATGCTCTCTTTGTAATTACCTGGGATAGAGCATCAGCTGACATCAATGTTAAGCAGAGGCATGACCATTTTCCTAAATCAAGTTCCAGTGTGAGGAATGACTGATTGCAGGACAAGTACAGTGCTCCTAATGACCAGCCAGGCTGGGGAGAGGAGCACCCTGGCAGGGTACAGCCTTTAACCCCAGTTCACTCAGGGGAACTCACTGATGTTTTACCACCAGTTGAACTGAGGTCAGCACTCACACCTCAGGCTGTAATGCAGGAGAGCATTATCCCAGAGGCTGCTGATACTCCTGGGGCCCTGTCCCTGCCAGACCCCACCAGTTTGGATCTGCACCTATAACCCAAAAAAGGGCATAGTCTGGGTCACCTCAAAACCCTTACCCAATTCCCTACAGAAAAAGAAGGTAATTTATCTTTTGAATTATGACAGACATTTGCTGATGAAAACGACCTGTCAGCAAAACCAAGGGTCTTTGAATGTCCAATCTGTCATTCCTTTCAAGACTTGATAAGCCAAGAGACAGCTCGCAGTAACCACCACATAGCACAGAGTAATTAGGTCCCTCTCAGTCTCCCATGGCAGCCGCTCTCCAGGCAGCCTGTGTGGCTGGAGTGTCAGCCTGAACTGCACTTCAGCACCAGGGGAAACACAGGCACAGCTACAGCAGCGTGCCCATCACTCCTCTCAATAGCTTTGGCTCTTTAGAAAAGCACCTGCAAACCATCCCTGCAACTTCTAACATTACAGCCATTGCTTTGATTTGCCATGTCGGGATTTCTTGCGTAACCACCTGGGAGCATTTGTAATTCCTCTGAGAAGGCCAGCAATCACTGAACTGCCGAGCCAGGACCTGCTCCAAGGAGCACGGCGGAGATCGGGCGGCTGCGAATCACACGGATCGCTGCGGACCCACACGGAATGTTAAAAGATCTGAACGGAGCTCAGCGATCATCGAGTCCCAGCCCCTTTCCTGCCACGGGCAGGGACACCGCCCGCTAGACCAGGCTGCTCAAGGCCTTAACCAGCCCGGCTTTAAACACCACCATGGCCTGGGGCATTCACAATCTTCCTGTCCCAAAGACCTCACCACCCTCGCAGCAAAGACTTTCCTTCCATTACCTAACCTAAATTTCCACTCTTTTAATTTGTACCCATCAGACTCGGCGGCCGCTGCTGCCGCTCCCACGCCCGAGGCCGGGGCATGGCGGGCCCGCTCCCAAAGCACGGATCAGCACAGGCACGTCCCACGACCGGGCATTTTCCCCTCCCCAGCCCTGGATCTGCTGCCAAAAGGGTCCCGCCACATCCATCCGCGCACCCACCGAGGCGCACACCCCGAACAGGGGCGGGCAGCGCGACAGCTCCAGCTCCGACCCGCTCGGAAAGGGCGATTCCCGCCGGGACCCCGCTAAATACGCGGGCCAAGGCGGGGCGGGGCGGGCGCGGCGCCTTCCGGCTGCGCGCGCACAGGGACACGGGGTGAGCGCCGGGGGCGGGATCGGGATGGGTGGGAGAGCAAAACAAAACAAAACAATCCGTGACCGCAGGCGCTGTTGGAGTTCCGGCTGAGAGCAGCCGGGAGAGCAAGTTCGTCTGCTGCAGAGTCTGCACGGGAAGCGCTGCTGCTGTGGCCGCGGGAAGTTCCGCATGGAGCCGTGCCATCCCTCCGAGGGGAAAACTGTGATGACAAGGACCGAGGTTTGCCGAGATCTTTTAGGTTCCTCCATGAAGAATGTCACCTTTTGATGCAGTGTACAAACATTTTGCAACTATGTTCCTGGCCACGAGCATATTCCTAGTCTTAAATGCCAGACTTTTGCGTTTCAGTATATACGAGGATACGAACAGTTTCTAGGAAATGTAGCATTGGAACCAAACATCAGGTTCGGAGCAAGCAGGTTCAGAGGATCTGTTGTTATCCTGCTTGTAAATTTCTAGAAGATAAAACCTCTTGCCCTGCTCAAGGGAGCGTGTTGCCTAAACTGGTGTCTTGATTGTGGAACGAACCAAGATAATTCTGATGCAGAATAATCTGTCTCGAAGAAAAAAAAATTCCACGCTCATAAACATGGGGAACTCAACTGAAAAACTGCTGTTTGTAATTCTGCATGTTCTTACAGGTCTGTAATAATTCCATAAAATGCTGAAAAAGTCTTAGGGATATGGCTGCAGTAAGTAGCTATAGTGCTTGCTGCTCCGATTCTCTGGCTGCCTGCAGAGCATTGTAAGTATTTAGTTGTAAATACTGCAGGGGTTGTGGAGAGCTCCAGTTTTTACTACATTTTTTAACAAAAGTTGTTCTTGGTAGTATTTTTGTTCCTAAACGTCACTTCAAAATTTAAAGTCTTCAGAAAGGAGACAACATTTATAAATCATGTACAGTGAGAAACTGATACAGGTCTTGTAGCTCAGTGATGAAAAATCTGAGGTGTATTCTCTGTGCCATCCATTCATAACTTTCCATGTTTTTAACCCTTAATGCTAAAGCATTTTTCATGCTTACAAAATCAACTATGTTGGAAAAGACTGCTGGTCACCTTTCACTGATTATCACCTTGTCAATTTGATCACAGTACTAAGTGGCACATCCTGACTTTTCTTGAACAGCTCCAGGAATGGTGACTCCACCACCTCCCTGGGCAGCCCATTCCAATGCTTAACAGCCCTTTCTGTGAAGAAATTCTTTCTGATGTCCAACTGAACCTCTGCTTCTTGGATATGCAGTCAGAATCTTACAATGACATTCAAAGGAATAAGCCTTTTAAAAACATTGAGGAATCCTTTTCCCCACCCCCTTTCTTGAATACTCTTCCAGGTATATTATCTTGTTTAAAGCTCAGAATGCTGCAGAGGCAGCTGAGAGCTCTGGATTTTACCACAGTGGTTTTTTTTGAAAGTTGTTCTGGCTAATACTTTTGTTTTCCTAAAACAAAATTTTTAATTTTTTAAAAATTTTTATATTTAAGACAGCATCTATAAATCTAGAATATTACCGTGTGCAATGAGAAACTGATAACAGATTTGGCAACTCAAAGTATATAATACTCACTGAATAATATTTAATAGAACATTTACCTCAGCAATAACAAACCATATGACAAGTACAGTGTTTTACAGAACAGATACAACAGATGACATTTGTGCCTTTAGTTTCAACTCTTCTTGCCTAAATATAGATGTTTAAATGAACAAGTGTGCTACCAACAAGCCAACACTTTGGTGTCACCTGCTCCAGCATGTGAACCCCTTAAATGAAATGAGCAGACTCGTGGTTGTGCCGGGGTAGCAAACACAGGCTGAGCCCGGGACATGCAGCACAGTCCTGTGGATGCATGCAAGCAGTGCCCAAATTACTCTGTGCAGGGTGCACAGGTCTCTCAGCACATTTTTACTCCATGAACAGGCATCCACACTCCCAGCAATAGCTACAAACATATAGGACTGTCCAATGGGTGCAGCCCTGACCTGGCTGCGGTCAGGGGATTTCTGCCATCGGATTTAAGCAGTGGAGAAAGTCTGTGTGGGATTACAGTTGCTATTTTTAGCCTTGCCTTTCTCTTTTCACCCAAGCCTGTTTTGCCCTGTACTTGGCCATTAGCACATCACTCCTCCTCTCTTTTCTCACAGCGCTTGTCCCGGAGAGGACAAGGATACTTAACTCTGCAGGCAGCTCCTTGCTGCTGCTCGGATTGGTGCTGGCTGCAGTCACCACCTCCCACTCCCCCTCATTCAGATCGCAGTAATGACAGAAACCCATGATGTGTCACATTAACTTAATGAGGTATTAATTACATTTAAGAATCAATTCCTTCTCCTCTATGAACAGCATTTCAGGAATTACAGTTTGTCTGTAGATACTGTTTTTTAACTTAAATATATATATATAAGGTGTAATAAATAACCATTTTTGAAGCAAGAAGGGAGGTTAGATCTGTGAAGATGTTGATGTTTCCCCATGGTTTGCGCTGTCTCCTTGTGCTGAGTGAGTCAGAAACTGTCCCGTGGCTCCAATGTACAACCTGGAACGCATGGGCCACTTCTGCAAGAGAGGAGACAAGCACAGCACTGAGACACCCGGCATCTTTGCACTCCAACTGCACTTCCCAGCAAAGATTTGATGGAATCGTAGTACAAGAAAATAGCTAACTGTTGATATCACCAAGCAGTTCCTGTTTTGTCATTCCCTGGAAAATGTTTGGAGCTTGGTAAGGGAGCCTCAGCCTGGATAAATGGTAATTAATGGTGAGGCACTGCTCCCAACCCTGCCATGCCCCAGCAGACAGGAGCAGGCGGTGCTGGCCAGTCAGCCTAGCTCACTTTGTGTCGTAGATGTTCTGTTAGTAGAATAAAACAAAGAATTCCTTCTCAAGGCACCAGGGATGCTGCAGGGATACACCTGCACCTGCAGAAATTGTTGCCCCGTGTGTACACCCATCCCTGCTGGCTGGGTCCCACACCACTACAGGGGCTGCTGCTGAAGGCTGTGAGTCTAAGGGGAATTTAATGGAATTGCACCTTGGCAGTCTTCAACACTCTCAGCTTCTTGTTCTTGTCAGCTCCAGGTATTTCAGATGCCACAATTCATCTTTACACTCACTGATTTTTGGAATCATCAGTTACTCTTGGTGTTAAATATTTATTCTGATTAACCCCAGCAGGTTACTCACTGCAAGCAGCCCTGTGGTGTGGGTGGCTGCAGCCGGGCACCCAGAACTTGGGAGGGAGCATCCAGCTCTGTTTGCTGTGCCAAGTTCAGTATTAGAGAGGTGGATGCTTGAAGACACAACTTGTCACACACATTGGATGCAAAAATACCTGAAACACAGCCACACATTGTTCCAAAAGAATGCAGTTTTTTTAAGACTCTCCTGGGAACAGACTGGCACCTTTCCTTTGGGTTAGGAGCACTCAATAGTACTGCAGACAAATCTCAGCTCTTCTGTTCGAAGACCTAAAGCAGCTGCATATTCTCACTTAGAAAGGCTGTACAATCTCATTCAGTAATATTATTCAAGAGTGATGTTAAGAGTTTGTCACCAATAAACCATCCAAGTTTAAAGTCATTAACCATATTTTTAATACAGTGTACACACGACTGTTCTTGGATATTTAACTTTCCTCACTATTTGCATTTACTATGCTTAATCTATCAGTTTAGTTAAAGACTATCTCTAAAGGTTGTCTCATATCCTGTGTTTTGGGGTTTTTGAAGCACATGCTAGGATTTGACTGTGACACATTCATCAAATATATTCATAAAAAATAATTGCTTAAGTGAATCCAGTATTGCTCTCTTCCAGTAGCCTGGGAAATGGGCACCTGGATAATTTAACTGCTGTAATAACTATTCAAGAGTATTTTTCTGCCAGTAGTAGTTGGCAGCTGATAGAAAGTACCGTAAGAGACCTGTGTCCTTTCACTCTGACTGAGGGAACTAACAGAAGCTTTTTTGAACTTAATTTGAAATACATCACAGTATTTTTTTTTACTTAAATTATAGCCATCTTCTAATTGGTATAGAAGTTTTGCTTTCTTTATGAGTCTGCTAATCATTTAAATGGCCTCAGAAGCCTACATTCACATCATGTTGTAAAATACAGCAATCAACATTGTGAACAAGGAACTCTCTGTGAATTAGGCACTTTTTAGAAATTAGAGATTACTTCACAAATTAATCTTAATTAAATCATTCTGACTTCAGACTCTCAAAGTAAAAAAAAAAAAAAGAAAACACCCCAGTGCTCTAACTCACTCCCTGTGAGCAGAGCCAAAGAAAACACCCCGCAGTGTCTGAGCCCCATCAGGCAGTGAGCACTGCATTTGGAAATAGATTTCAGCCCTGTCCTCTCCAAGAGCATCCCTTCTGCATCGCTCAATTTTTTATTTTTTTTTTTTTTTTATTTGACAAAGGGAAGAGTGTAGGTTTCTGAAAAGCACTTTCATGGAAGTAATTAACACATGGTTGGTAATTAATGCTGCTGTCTGCATTGGGCTGCCTGGGCAGCAGAACTAAAGCAGTGGCTGCATCACTGCTATGGGACAGTGTCACCTCATCACATAGACCCCTCCCAGCAGGATCCACTGGGTCTGTGGGGATCTCCAAGGTTTCCATAAATAGACTAAGAAGATGCAAGTATTCCTGTGGTGCTGACCTTCACTTCCAAAAACCAGGTTCCACTAGGTTTGGATATACACTAGATTTGGTATTTTGGTGCAAAGTCCCTGAATGAGTCCCTGGAGGAAAGCTCCAAGATATTTCCATCAGACCCCTAAGACTTGGGCACAGTGGTTAGTCCAGGCAGACTTTTCATGTAAGACCTCTAGGCAAGGTACAGGAACTCGAAATCTTTAATTTCAATTACATACCTAAGGCCAGTGTACTCACTCACTGACAGAAGGTGGTTGCTGCTCCTCAGCTCCCCTACCTTGACAGGGTGCAGGTATCCATCCCCTCGGAGAGTGCCCAAACCCTCTCCCGGTGTCTCCTCCTCATCCTGAAGGCTGCGGGTGAGGTGTGCGATGTAGGTGGTGGCCAGGAGGAGCACATCCAGCTTGGAGAGCTTGGTGTCGGGCGGCACGGAGGGCAGAGTTTTCTGCAGCTCCAGAAAAGCGTGGCGCAGGGTCTGCACCCGGCTGCGCTCCCGGGCGGCGTTGGCGGCGGCGGGGCGGCCCGGAGCGGGAACGGGAACGGGAGCGGGAACAGGAGCGGGAGCGGCAGCGGGAGCGGCCCCGGCCCGCGGCCCGGCCGCCAAGGGCACGCAGGAATTGCTGCCGGCAGAGCAAGGCTGCAGGGAATCGGGCTCCGAGCCCGGGCTGCAGATCTCCTCGCTGCTCTCTGCTAAGTGTCCACAGTCCATCGGTGACGGCCCCGGCAGGGAGGGTCCTGCAAGCAACAAGAGCATCTCTAAAGTTAAGATGCTGCGGTGAGCTGGGGCCAGCACGTTCTGAAAACAAGGATGGTCAGAAACGCAGGCACTGCCTGTGCTAGGAAAAGCTGGGAATAGCTCCGTGAGCCACTTTTCCATTCGCTGCTTACAAATTCAGCTTCACACACGGGTACAGAACAGAAATTAAAATCTTTGCAACGCTCAGTATTTGATTTGGGGTTTTTTTGACAGCATTACACAGAGGAAATTCTTTGAGTCACTCATAGCCCAGAGATGACTTCTGAGAAAACCCAGCAGGCACCACCCAGAGGCACAGCCACAGTGGTTTCCATCTACAACCAGCTAAAAATTAGGCTACAGGCAATTTTTAAAACATATTCTCTCTATGATTTGGGATGTGGAACTGTTGGTATCTTTTCTATTTTAGCTGCAATAATTTTATGACCAGTCTCATAGGTGGTCAGTGCTCCATGGACTATAGAAAGAAAAATATCATTTTCAAATGGATCAGCAAGTGAAGCCATAGAGCAGGGACTCAGTTTTTGAAGGGCAAAACTTGGCCCATAATTTTAAAGGATCAGGAACTGACTTCTCCTGTCTTCCCACCTGTAACCTTACTAAAAAATTTGCATGCTTATCCTTTCTCATCTACATTTTCAAACTTCAAAAGAATTTTGTAAGATGTATTTTGGCCATTGGGGGGCAAAAGAACCTTTTGAAAACAAAAGAACTTTTTTTGGGAAAAGCTGAAAACAGTGACCACAAGGTCTTTTCCCAAAGAAAGCTTTTTGTAAAGCTGGTCAGTCAGCTCTGCCTGTAATACAACTCACAGTCCTTTAATTCATTCAGTTCCACAGAAAAATGCAATTCAATCAATATTCCCCAAAGTGCAACACTTCTCAGCTGGAATAATACCTGATCTTGTTGTACTCAGCCAAGCAGCCCTCGTGGGTGTCCCAGATCCCAGCTTTCACGTGTTAGGAGTGTCTGTTCCTGTGACAGCCTGGCTAGACAAGGGCAGGAACAAGTTATTAAACCTTTTAATTTCATCCAAATACTGTGTAATTAAAAATTTAAATAACATTGATGCATATAAATTACTGAATATCTACATTTACAAGAATTACCTCTTGATTTTGCAAAGCATTTCAAGCACACACTGAAATCAAAGGTGTCTATCAAAGACAAAGAAAGGTTTCTAAATAATCCTTTTTGCAATGCTACAATTTGATGGTATTTAGAATATTTTTTTTGTTATTATTTTGGGTGATTAATTGTGATTAACTTGCTATTAATGTGGTTCACACAGGGTTATAATGATCTCTTCAGTAGCAGTACAGGTTAGACTGAAATTATTTGTGAAATATTCTGTGCACATTATAACTCAAAGCCAAAGGAAAAAAAATCTCACTATTCTTTTTTTATTGTGGTATTTATGATCAGTATAAAATCTTATATTAAGACTTCATGAGCTTGTCTTGAGTGAGGGCTGAAAAATGGTCCTTACACTGGCTATTGCCTCTAAATTAAAAAAAAATCGTTATATGCTTTTTTCTTGGTGTTTGCTCATTGTATTAAGGCATAGTCAGATCTGGATGAATTTTAGTTTAAAAAAAATCACCATTGTGGAGATGACATCAAGACAATCATTTAAGATAATCATGAAAACTGGCAGAAGAATCTAACAATTTATGTTTAGCAGCAGCATTTCTCACCACCATCCCATCAAAATCTCACTCGTAGGAGGAAGTCTTCCCCAATTACTGGAGAAGTCTGGATTACCCAAGGATATGGACAGACTGAGGTTAGGAAAATAGGGTTAGTAAAAATACCTGTTCCTCTACTGAAATACGGGGCTAGGTTTGGTTTACACACAGTTTTGATTTTGCTGTGCTGGTGTATAACCACATTTAGAACTGGAATGACTTCGAGTGACATACAGTAAATAGCAATGCACTTACCTGAAAACCTCATCTCCTTGGGTGCTCTTGGAAATTGGAGTTTCTGGTTTAGGAGCTTCACATCTATATGAGAGAAAATCCTGGGCCTGTGGAAGAAAAGTACAAAATTTCAGCTGTGGAAATGAAAGGTTTCACTCTGAATTAAATTTTTCCGCTGCCAGACTTCCTGTCAAACACAAGCAGCAAACGGCCTGGGAAAATCTGCTACATGAAACAAAGGATCTGCTGTAGGTATGTACATTTGTGTAGCCAAAGCATGGTGGTTCCTTCCTGGATCCACAGCCAGGATCTCTTCTGTTGCACACTGGGTCTGGGCAGCATCACTCTTCTCCCCGAGTTAATCAGGACACCCATCACAGGTGCTTCAAGCCCATGCATTGCTCAAACCTCATGGTCCAAAAAAATGCTGCTAAAAGCTAAAGTAAATAAAAAGCTTCTGGGCAACAGTCATTTCCCTTTTAAAATTTTACAAGAAAGAGGTTTGGTTTTTAAAATAATCGCAGTAATTTTTGCAAGCACCCACTTGCCACCTGGTCTCCTGAAAGAGTTGGAAACAGGGCTATAAAAGTAAGTTAAAGTATTTATGTTGTTNAACACTTCTAGTGCAGTATTTCTAATGCATGCAGATGCATTTGTGTTTTTACATGACGCTACAAAGTCATGATTGGTTTGACATCTTTTACCAAAAAACCCCAGCACGATATTTATTTTAGTCTTATATGCTGTGTGAATGAAACGGCGATGAAGGCATCCTGCCCACACAGACACGGAAAAGATGGAAAACGCCAGAGCAGAGCACACAAACTGAAAACAAACAGGTGGAAACCTGAAATAAACTTTTCCGTTGCTCCTTAGAGGTCAAAACACAGTGAATCTGAATTATTTTGCATCGGTTTTAAAAAGGCCTTGCCCTCTGTGTAACTCCGTAAGAGGTAACGAAAACCCTTTCTCCGGAGCAGAGAAATAGGAATTGCCTGTTGGTGTGCGGGGCAGAACCGGCGCTCACGGCCCCGCCGGCTGCTGTGCTCCGGTCCCGTATCCCGACTGCAGGGGACCTGGCAGGACCCCGCGGTGCCCGGCTGGGGATGCACTTACCGCTCCCGCCCGGTGCGGAGGCTCCAGCCCGGCGCGGCCCCTCCCGGCGCCTCCGTCCCGTCCCGTCCCGTCGCGTCGCGCCCCGGTGTTTATAAGCCGTGGCTGCCGGTGGGTGCGGCGGGGCTGTGTCGCACCTGGCCTCCGGGCTCCCCCCTCCGGCCTGGGCGACAGCGACCGCCCCTTCTCGGGCGGCTGGGTCATCAATCACGGAGCTGTCGGGGCGGCATCGCCTCTCGCTCCCCTCGACCCCCGCCCTCCCCCGCGCCCGGCCCCGGGTCCGTGCGGGTCCCGCCGCCCCGCGCCGCCGCTCGCCCCGCTCGCGCTGTTTTTCTTAGGATAAAGTAACGGTTTTGCTGGAGGAGAGAAATTTAATCGCTGGGCTGGGAGCTCAGGCGATGCCCTGCTAAAAGCGAGCCCTTTCTCTTCGCCCCGCCGCCGCATCTCCGGCTCGCGGATGTTCCCGGGCGGAGCGGGCTCCCCCGGGCGAAGCTCCGTCCCACAGACGCGGGGGGAGAGGGTCGTGGCTGCCCCGGCACCGCTCCGGGACCGACCCACACGGGATGGAAACACGAATGGGATAAGACGAGCCCGGCCGGGCAGAGAGGGGATTTAACAGGGAACGGGGAGCGATTAAAAATCAGTAACGCTAATGAGAAGGGACAGTCAAAATAAATACAGGGGTATGGAATTAGCCCAGAATAACATTTTGAACGAAGCCCGATTGTACGATAAGAGAGACACAATAAATCAAGCCTCGGGAGCAGTGGAAAAACAAAGTCTGAGCGATTCGTTACCGAGTTTGCAGCCAAGAAAATTAAGGACTTAAACTTTAGCGGTAATTGGAAGTCCCGGGAAGGGACGAGCCCAGTGAGGACCTGGCGGGGCGGGAGCGGGGCAGAGGGAGCCGGACACCTGCATTCAGCCCCGGCCCGGCACAGCGCCCGCCGCAGCCGTCGGCGCGTCCCAGGCAAACTCTCCGGCCCGACAATTCCAGCAGCGCCGCGCTTGGGGGGACGGGCGGGGGCTGCCCGCGGGAGGGACCCTGCCCCGCCCGGCCCCACCGAGGCCCCGCCGCGCTTTCTGCCCTCGGGCTGGCATCCAGAAACACTGAGGAGCCGCCTCCGCTGGGCCGGAGAGGGCTGGATGGCAAGGAATGCTGTCGGGCTGCTCTACAGGTTCTGAATTTAAGCACTAAATTCTAAGTTAAGTACTTAAATTCATCTATAAATTTAAGTTTTGAAACTGTGCCTCAACGTTTACCTTTGCCTCGTGCTGGCAGCCTCGGTGGGGGTTTCCCTTCAGCCATCGGGACTACTCTGACAAAAGCTACTTTCGGCTTCTGTGATGGACTTCACCTGCAGAACAGATCATCCTTTGGCCTCCAGGGTGCAAGAGAATGAAGACACTGGTTCTCTGGAGGACAGTGGAGGAGCCTCCAAGCAGCATTGCTAAGCCATGATTTTTTTGGCCTCAAGGTTTCCAGAGCTGCCTCCAGCCCAAGTGAGCATTTCTGTATCCTTTCTGCAGTCAAAACCTCTTTAAAAATGCACTCGACAGACATCCCTCTGCTCAGTCAGCTCCTGGGGCTCCAACAAGCAGTTCTTGAACATATCCTAAAGCTTGTACTGAAAACACTCTGTGGTGTGATGTGGAAGAACTGATCCCAGACTCCCTGGAGAGCAGGGACATTTGCCTTCCAGCCTCACTTCCACTGGAGCTCCTCTATCATCTTGTAAGTGCCAAACCAGCACACAAGTCTGGGGATCAGCTCTCCCGCACCCCAAGGAGGCTTCTAGGTCTGCTGCCCACCTAAAAAATGCCTAGTCAAAGGAGGACGTCTCCTCACTAGGCTGTGGGATCCTCAGCTATGTCACTGACAGAGAACTTAGCAGGTGTCCAACACTCTGAGACTTCTCAGCCCCCCCTAAATTAGCAGATTGTGAGTGCTGTGCTGTTCTCTGCTTTGATTGGATTAATGACAGGGAGGGTTTTTTGGTTTGGTTTGGTTTGGGTTTTTTTGAGTTTCCAACTGTACACAGAGTTCTGCCTCAGTGCAGAAAATCCAATGGAAGGAGTTGGAAGAGAAGTGGTGGTGGAACTCCCATTACCATCTTTAGACAACACCAAATCCACCTTACTGCAGTGTGATTAAGGAGATTGTACAGTAAGAAATTGAGCAGTGCTTGAAGACACCACTCTGGCTGTTAGCCTCATTACCAAAAAAGGGGTGCTTTGAACATATATTTTAAAAACCCAAAGAGATAGAAATGTAGAAATAATTGTTCTTTGCTCCATCAAGACTTTCTCCCATCTGATGACACCTCCTCTGTTATAAGCACAAAGACAGCCAGTGATTATTTTCTTGTATCAACCCACTATTTAAATCTAAAGCTGTAACAAATGGCTGCAGCTGTTTCTTCTTCTTTCCCAGACAAATGACTGAGAATTACTTTTCCTGTCTTACCTTCCACAGTATATCTCAAATCTGAGAAATGCCAGAGTCACAGAAGAGCCAGATTTCCAGTGTGATTTAGGTAAGAAGAAGTTCTACCAGAGACAGAATGATGTTTTTCCAGGTACACTCTGCTCCCTTTATGTCAAATTAGTTTCTGGTTTTATGGCTACAATTCAGCACGAACATTCAGGGTATTTATTTTCAATTTGTTCATTTTCTCCCATTCCCATTTCTGTATAAGGATTTCTCAAGTGTGCTTGCCTGCTGGTATGGTGCAGCTTCTGACAGAGACTAGCAGAAACATTGCTTGTCCGAGTAAAACAGCTCTGGCAGGAAGCCACACACAGATTGTACTGGTCAGGTACCACAGATTCCAGCTGTAGCCTGGGAGCAAATCAAAGGCAGGACACAGCCACAGGAGAATAAAAATAAGTTGCAGTTCACAACTTTTGCTTCTTTGGGAAATCTCAGCATAATGGATTCCAAATCCAAACAAATGTTTTGAAGATTTCCAGTTAAATACTTTTTCCCCCATGTTTCAAATGCCATGTTGATAATGTACCGTAGAACCACAGCATATTCCACAGTTACGTTAAATTGCCATATTACAGTGTATCAATACACTTTTTATAGCATTTTCTTAGTAGTAATTATTTTTAAAATGTATTTTAAATATGTATCAGTAGGGCTCCATTCTGGGGTTGTGTGTGTGTGTACATAAGTGTTAGACCAGGGTATCAAGACTTTGTAAGGGGTTTCCTTTAGCTAGACATGAGTTGCCTGGCTGTGGGACTCTGTGAAACCCCATAGCACATGTTGCTCAGGAGTAATTAATTCAGGTCTTCAATGTTTTATTTATCGCAAAATAAATTAAAACCTTTAATCCAGAAATACTCAGAACCTATGAAAAATAAGCCATGCTCTAGGTGGCTAACACAGCATAACCCACATTTAACAAATACTAACAATCCATTAAATAGTTTTAAATGGGTGTGTGTAAGGCAGAGGGAAGTGTAAGATGCAAAGATAGCACCATGACATAGAGATCTGGAGGTGACTTCCTAATGTGCTGTAACTCTAGTTAGTATCTATCAACTGAGTGAGCAATCAGCAGCTGACACTGTGAACATGCTCACCAACACTATTGACATTCTTCTTTGGAAATTGCTTAAAGAATCAACTTTTTTTAATGTATGCTTTTCTGTCTTTCTTGACCTGAATATCATTGATGACTACAACTAGAAAAAGAAGTATCATGCTCTGTTAGTACTGATTTAGTAAGGGACTAACAGCTACACATCTGAGCTTTATTTTGTATTTGGAATATTCTGATTTTGAACTTTTTTTGAACTGATTTTGAATTTTTGAGGCGAATGACTCACCAGCCTTATATGCTGCTTTGGGCTGGGGTAGAGTTAATTTTCTTCACAGTGGCTAGTATGGAGCTGTATTTTGGATTAGTGCTGAACACGGTTGATAATATAGAGATGTTTTTGTTATTGCTGAGCAGTGCTAACACAGAGATGAGGCCTTTTCTGCTTTTCATACTGTCATGCTGGTGAGGAGACTGGGCACATGGGAACTGGCAATGTGGGAAGTTGGGACGGGTGACTCCAACTGATCAAAGGAATATTCCATACCATATGACATCATGCTCAGTATCTGAAGTAGGGGAAGAAGGAGGAAGCTGGGGGATGTTTGGATGTTTGACATCTGCCTTCCCAAGTAACCATAGCACGTGATGAGCCCCTTGTTTCCTGGCAATGGCTGAACACCTGCTTGCCCGTGGCAAGTGGTGACTAAATTCCTTGGTTTGCTCTGCATGCATGTGTGGCTTTTGCTTTCCTATTAAACTGTCCTTATATCAACCCATGAGTTTTCCAGCTTCTACCCTTGCTATTCTTTTCCCAATCCCAGTGGGGGGAGTGAGTGAGCAGCTGTGTGGGGCTTGGCTGCTGGCTGGGGTTAAACCACGACACTTTAACAGAAGCATTGGCACCTCAGCGTTACAGTACCACTCATTAACTACCTTAGCTTTGGAATCTTGGTCTTTATAATGAAGATGAAGATCTTGTTATTCAAGGGGAGAATGCATGCAGGAGTTAAATGCATTTTAATAATCTCTACTGAATTATCTTTATAAATGTTAACAAAATACACAAAACATTCCATGCAAAAAGACAGATCCTGATTTCCCTACTCTGGAAAAATTCCTTTCTTATTTCAGAGAGCAATAAGCAAAGATGCTGAGCTGCCATTCACACAAGGTTTCTTCCAGGGGCAATTTGTAATCTAGGCTTTCCTTTTCTTATCCGTAGGATTGGAATTTTCCAGTATCAGAAGTCTCAAGCATTTATTTCATTACTCAGATGAGTGCAAAGCAGCCAAACAAACAGAATTTGAAGTTAATGGACAATACTCCCAATCAAAAAATTAATCAGCACAGACATCATTAATCTTCTCGTACCTCCTCTGCTAACTGTTCCACGTTATTCATCAGAACTTGGAAAAATCCAAATGATAGAAATTATTTGTTAGGACTACAGATCTTCTCAAACATCATGTGCTAATAGCTTCTTTCTGCTTGAAAGGAGGTTGTAGACAGGTGGGGGCTGTTTTTTTCTCTGAAGTAACAAGTGACAGGTCAAGAGGAAATGGCCTAAAGTTGCACCAGGAAAGGTTTAGATTGGGTATTGAGAAAAAATTCTTCGTTGGAAGGGTGGTCAAGCATTAGAATAGGCTGTGGTTTGGTATTCACCACAACTTGGTTTAGTGGTGAATATGGCAGTGTTAGGTTTAGATTTGGACTGCATAATCTTAGAGGTCTTTTTCAACCTTAATGACTCCATGACTACTGTGAACACACCTCTGCACAACTGCTGAGTACCATATAGGGAGAGAAGCAGCTGCTAGGTAAGGCACTGGCTAAAACCAGTTCATTTCTTGAGGAAGTTTAAGAATTAGGCAACCTGTTTAGCCTAGCATGTGCTGATGTTTTTACATGCTTTTGAGACAAAGCATTGCTTCTAAATAAATAGGCAGTCCCCTTATTTTTCTGGATGTTCTTAGAAAGCAATGTTAAGTTCAACATACTTAATTTTGTCTGGTTTTGAGATTAAAAAGACACAGATAACATAGCCAAAGAGACACCAGTATCTTTCTTTGTAAGCTTTGAGGGAGAAAAAGAAAATCAATAATGGCTAAATCTTCACATCCTGTAACTTCTGGCTTTTAGAATTCAAGCTACTTCTGTTGTTACTTCAGATTCCTCCTCAACCTACATCAGAGAGATCACAGGAGACAGGTGAGATCTTCATGCCAAAACCACACCAAAGCACTGATTGCTCCCACTGTCATTAACACTTCCTGGGAGCACTCAACATTTCGACAAATATTATAAGCAGTGTTATCAAATGCTGCTGATGAGAAAAAAATATCTTTAACTATTGCAAGGTTATTGGCTGCTGCAGTGAAAGCCCTTTTGTTTTTATTCCCAGTGCCAAACCTGGAACCAGAATATTCTGAATTGACAGAATCTGTCTGTTTGGGGTATTGTACATTCCTTTATTACAGAAATTACTTTTTCCATGGACAAAAATGGTATAAACATTTTTTCCTACATAAATGTGTATCAAATACTTCTAATTTTCAAGTCCCATCAGGAAAAAAATCTTATTAATAATCAAAGCAATTTTTCATATAAATGAAATCAGATAAGATTCAGTCTTTTATTCCAAAACATTTTCCTACAAACTATGTGTAACTGATTATACCCAACTTTACTGGACATGTAAGCAGTGGTTACTATGGGAGTCTAACATATTAACTCTCCAAGAAATGAAGAGATTACTGATTCAAAACTCTTTTTGATTTAAAGTATTAGTCTATTACACAGATCATTTCACAGCTGGCTTGGATTTATCTTGGTTTTGATGCAGCAATTAATTCTGCTCAGAATTAAGAGAACAGAAAGATGTAGTCAGTAATTTCTGTAGTCTCTGGTTACAGTGTTGTTTGATTGAAGAGGTAAGGTTCAAATACAACATTTTTAACAGTGAATTCCTAGAATTCTTCAAGGCCAAGTGACTTAAAATAAATTTCACTGTTTTTTTCCCCCCTAACATAGTAAAAAGTATTGTTTCCAGTTACAATATATAGAATTTATAATTTTGTGACTGTAAATAATTAGGTTCACACAATTAATAATTTTGCCTCAGAGCTCTGTTAGTCAGGATAGTACTTTGCACACCACACTGAGATAAAAAATCATAAGAAAAACAGGGAAGGAAGCCTTTCAGTTGCACTTAACTTTTACCAGTTACACTCTGAATACAATCACATACTATCCCATATTAACAGATCACATCTGAATCCTCATCCTGAAGAATCAATGGACACATCTTGAACACTGACAGTTTTCTGGCTAGTTTTCCCCCTGTCTATCTCAGAACTTTTGAACTTTATGGCTTTTAAAGCTGTATCACAGGCAGTGCTGTGTACTGCTTTATACCTGCATATATAAAGAAATAATACAGCATTAACTTACACCTTGCACTGGTTTTAATGTGGTATTTAAGAAAAAATAATATTTTTTCATTGGCTATGGATTAAAAAAATCAAATATTAACTTTAGATCAGTAACTCAAACACTGTGTGATTACATATATTCTGATTATGGTAAAAGCATTACCAAGGGAAGGTACTTGGGCAGTGATGTCTAATTTTTTTTCTTTTTGGTACTTCTAACACAGCAACAGTACTGTGGAAGCTCTAAAAGCATCGGTACCCCCCTGGTAAGGCCTGGTCTCACACATTTTAGGTCCTAGGAACAGTTTTTGGTGGGGGGAAATTCTATCAACAGTGGATGATGACCAATTTAGGAACTGCTAAGGTAAATCTGACATATCCAAGTCTTTGCAACTGGATGGGATACATCCCAAGGTGCTGGAAGTTAATTTGAGGAGGTACAGCTGCTACTAACGAATTAGTAGTTGCAGTGCTGTCCTCCAAAATGTAGTAGCTCATCTTGCTAGATGGGGACACAGTGACTGTGTTTTCACCTCAGGTTTGTTAAAGCAGCTGCTTTCAACTTTTCAGAGAAGGGAGTGTGTCTACATAATGTGTGATATAGGAAGGCAAATACTGAAAGAGTGTTTGGACTCTATGATCTTTCAACCTAAAGCATTCTAAATATTAATGTATTTTATGTAGAAGGTTTCAGACAGTCTGGGTTTCAATGTTCTTGAGAGCATCTGACAGCCTGCAGCCCCAGATGTGCCCCAGTAAGCTGCTGACCACCTACTGGCTGACAAGTCACATGTGCCATTTGGTCTTTGAAATGTCTAGGAAACACCCCTATCTCCTGGAAGAGGGAGCAGACTATTGCAAGCAAATGTGCTCCTGCCAGATTGCCCATCCAGAATGTGTCTATGCTCTATCTGGTGAGTCAGACATGTAGGAGTATGCATGCACAGTCTAGCTGGCAATCTGCTCATCAGCAGATGTGCTCTCTGTCCGTGGTTTGATAAGAATTTACTCTTTTCAAGGGCACAGGGGGTCCATCAGTGCACGTGTTCTGCCAGTGTAGTTTAGATCGTTACTCCTTCTCAGCTTTGGGCACAGGCAGCAGCGCAGAGAACTGGAGTGGGGAGGCAGGGCACGGCAAAAAGAGATGGCTTTTATCACTACATTTAGGACACTGGATGACAGGGCAGCGCTAAGTACTACAGATTTGGCATATAGTAGACCTACTTCTTCTTGTTTTTTCTAAAATTACCACTACTGAAAGAACTTTAGACAGAATACAATGCCATTGTTTGTGTCTTGTATGTTTGTGATGACAGTTATATTTTTCCTTCTGAACAGAGAATGAATAATCATGGGGAGAATCATCCAGCATCATATTCAGCATGTAAATGTGGATACCAAAAATACCACTAGGGTGTAGATTACTGTAATATTAATTATGTCTCTGCAAAAATACTTACATTCACCTTTAGAGGTAGTGCATATTCTCCACATAAAAAAAGGGAACCAACCACTAGGACTGGCTGAATTGCCTGCTGAGACCTTAAACGGGCCACAGTAACCAGAAACTGCTAATACCTGACCTTCATTCAAATGGCTCTGCTTCAGCAACCCTATTTAATTTCATAACTTCACTTTATCTCTTGATTCTTATACTTTATCTAGCATTGTGGTAACTCCTTTCATATCCTATGTCATGGGTGAATAATTCAATGGCAAGTAAATTCCTTACATTTTTCTTCCACAGCCTTCAGCACTAAATGCTGATTGATACTTTCTACACCTCACTAAGAAGATGTTTACATTTTTCCTTCAACACCATCACCAAGGAAAGGCAGTGAGATGGGCTGCTGGAAAAGGCACTCCATGTATTTTCTAAGCATGCTCTCAGCTCTGGCAAAGTGCTCCAGCTGGTATTTCTAAGTATTTAATGCACCTAATTCTGAATACATTTGGAGTGCTTATAAGCTCTTCAGCTGCTAAAACCAACTTGAGGGTGCTCAGCTAAAACTGCACTGGTTTATATCTTAAATCTGTATTTCTCCTTCTCCTGTATCTAAGACTGAGGATATTTTTTATTTTTGAATTTTCAGATATTTGCTGAAATTTATACTCAGTAAGGGAACAAGAATTAGGTCACTCAGAGGTAACGTTTTTCCCCATCTCCCTCTCAAATGAGAGAGCTGTATTCTGTAACATGAAGTGTATGATTGCAAAGCTTATGTTTTGGGTATATAGCATTATAGTCTCAGTATCATTTCTCCTCAAAAACCTGTCACATAATAGGCCTTAATAACTCTATTTATTATAACGCTAGTTAGGTTCATATAAACAAAAGCCGAGTATACATGCAGAACATGCACATTCCTACCTGTTAGCAAATATATATGATCCTGTCGAGATTTCAGACCACACAAATCACACAACTCAGGGCATTTATAAATATTTAAGTAATTAAACACAATGTTCATACAAGCATCTGCCTAAGAAGAGGGAGAACTAACATTGTTCACTGCAAGTTCCTACCTTTTGGACTAGAACTTGAAATATACATGATGTGCATGGTGGCAGCAGAGTAGCTTATGATTAGTTGGCACAATGCAGAGTATTTATTACATGCTGACTGTTTAATTTAAAGATATTTCCATATTGCTAATACCATAACATATGATGGAGAGACAAAAGGTGACTTTCCCACCACATTCTGAATTGCTACAAATACCTATCACGATATTTAATTCCATGAGTAAGGCAATATGGGCAGAAACTCCTGGTTACAGATTAAGTTTACAACATCAAAATTTCAACAACTTCTCTACTCAAGGAACATTAATAATGGTGTATCCCACTGGACAGTATTAGGTATCTTTAAAATAGTTAAGTGATTTGGTTTCTTTTAATTACTTCCTGCCAATATCCATAATTTTCTCTGAATGTCCAAAACTAATTTAAAATTCAATATAAAATTTCTATTGTTTTTAGATCATCAAAAAGAAAAGATTAATGACATATTTCAGTAATCTAGTGATAAGTGGCTTTTTTCATTGTTCAAGCTGCACACAATCCTCAGTGGATCTTAGATGTAGGTTAAAAAGGTATTTAATGCCTGTTTTTCAGTTGCCAAGGTCAAACATCACCTAGTATGTATACGGAAAGAGGAAACATCTGTTGGAATAATTTATTTGACTAACACAGAGGTTAACATTAAAACCCACGAATTTCTTTGGTCCAATACTGAATTTCAATTAAGCAATACAGATATTTGTTCAGTTTGAAAAAATTTCCTTCTGTTACTTGTGGACACGTTCATGTATATCCCTAATTAGTGAATCTGGCAAGGGAATACTATGATTTGTAATTTTTTTGTATCTGTATAAGCTCTGAGAATGAATATTTATATTTTTTGAGGTTTTGGACGTTTTTTTCCCAATAAATGTTCTAAGGAATTCACAAACCTTTAACTCCCAAGACTCTTTGGTTTGTATGGAATTCCTCTACTAACAAGATTAGATCATTTCAGGATCAGTGATTACACGTGAAATTGTACAGCACAGCAACCTTCAGCATTTAAGTTAAAAGTCCCATTTACAAGTTTCTAGAAAATACTAAATGCATTGCATCTGACTGCAGATTCTTCTAACCATTCTGTGAAATCAGACTAAAATCTTCCAGACTAACAGTAAAAAAACCCCACACCTAAATTATTTAATTTAAAAATGTAAATTAATAATTATAAAGTGGCAATAACAAATAATTTGTTTCATTTACAAATGTAAAAATATAGACATCATATTTCAATCAAGTATGGAAGATGCTCTCTTTGCCTTTCTAGGGTCAAAAGGGATTTCAAGAGAGTCATGATTGTATTCCAGATTTTTAATACTGAGTAAATATTTGCCAAGCAAAGAAGCTCAACAATTGGACAGCTTTTTACCATTGTAAAGCAGAATCAGAATGCTTTGTCTCAAAGGAAATATCAGACGGTCTTACAGGAAAAATATGTTGTACACACATGTTCCATTCTTTTTTAGCACTAAGGGCAATGGCAAATGGAAAGCAAGGTTTTACTCAGCCTGGCCCAAAAGACAGGACACTAATAGAGATGACATGCAAGCTGACAGAACACTGAGCATGTGGACAAACCCATCTTACAGTAGAATTAAAAAACCCACAAACATATTTATATGACATGAGTATTAGTCTGTATCCCTCTAAATTTCAGAAGCCTGTACTATTCACTGGAAAATAATAGTGTACTACTATAGTGATACTAACAGTATTACTTTTTATAATAATGAGTACCTTGCTCCTGCAGTTCTTATTCTTAACTGCTCCACTGCTTTGTGCTTTCTGAGAAGGAACAAAGTTCAATAACAGGCACATATATTACAAATTCAGTTTCTTTTTTAGGCCAGAATATATCCATTGTCATGTGATGAACAAACATGAAAAAAAGAGAGAATCTTTGTAATTTGCAATTCTTCTTCCCTTCTCAATGGAAAGGCAGCTATTTTTAATCAGAACAAATAATCAGAAGAAACAAAACTCATAGAATGGAAAGTGGTAAGTTGTCAAGAATTAAATAGCATTAAATGTTGCTCAGTTAATTTGTCAAACATACTAATAAATTCTAACTTGAATGTAATTTACTGATTTAGTTACAAAAGAATACCCGTGTCAGTTGCATGTATTTATTTATTTTATCTACATCATTGTATAAATGATGATTTTTTTTGTTGTTGTTGGCTAGTTCAGCTGATAAATAATAAAACTGTTAGGTTAAAAACAGCATTAAAAATCTGGAAGGAGTGATATTAGGTCCCAAATTCTTAACTATACTATTGCCACAGGTGAAACTGGAGCATAGCTGTTAGAAGTAAGTGGTAATGGTGAAAACTGGTTGTTTCTCCTTCTCCAGATGATCCCAGGCACAGCATCAACCTTCCCCAATGGTCCTCACACCCTAACTTACTTCTGAGAATTAACTTCAATTTTATTTTACCTTTGTGGAAAATGATTGCAATTAAATGCATATGACAGAAACTAGTAATATTAAAGTTACTACTATTAGCTAGTCCACTGATTTGTTACCAGAAACTGAAATCTATTATCCTGTCTTTCAAAGAAATAAAGACAATAAATATAACATGGTTAAAAAAATTATTTCAGATTTCTATCTTCCTGTACTCATTTTCCAACTGATTCAGCAAGAGCTGTACAAGCAGTAACTGGCATAACTAAAAGGAAGATGTTTGAGAAACACACCTGAGTTTTCACCTGACTTCTTCTTTCACGGATTTTTGGCAGAGGCTTTCTTTCAACTTTCAACTTGTGAGCCAAATCTAAAAAATTTACTCTTTCTTTCACAGAGTCACTGTGGTGAGAAGGAAGAGCAAAATAAGGTGTTTCAGAGTCAGCTGCAGGAAACAAGAAGAAAAAAGGATTAATTCAATATCCCAAGCCAAACTATATGTATTTAATATTCAATGTGATTGATCACAGGTTCCAATATATCTCGTTATAGAAAACAGTTAATGAACTTTAAGGTGAAATACCTCAAATTTGATAACCAAGAACAGAAAACTTTGACTGGAGTTATGGAATGTGCTGCAAACACTGATGAAGGTGAATATTAAAACAGGTATTCCCACTCAGGTAGAGTTATTTCAAAGGGAGTAAATTCAATTACATAGCAGTAATGTATTAGTAGTTATTCAGAAGACCATTTCAGAACCATTACCATTTACATATGGCTTCCAAGCAATGAGCAGACTCCAACTATTTTAAGGTGCTGGCAGGCAGAGCATCAGCCTTCATGTCTTCAAAAATAACATATTAATTTATCTTCCAAAAGCAATAATGTAAGTGCCACAAATTTTATTTTATAAGCATGGTAATTCAAACCATTTTGAGTAATTTCAAGTTAAATGCCTGTATTCAAGTCCTGCAAGATGGCAAGACATGCTTTTAAGTCATTTATGTTTTAACCTGCAGTCAACTCTGTAACAACCACAACCTCCCCACCATTTTTAAAAAACCTCAGCTTCTTTCAGGTGTTGATTGAGTTTCAAAACTATTTTGTTTTCTCACTTGAAGAACAGGTTGCCTTTAAACCTCAAAAAGGGTTTAAGGCTTTTTTACTTTCCAGGTTTAAAACTTGGACTTCTGTTAGATGTGTATCTTGCAAAGGCCTTTAAAAGGACTAACAATACACAGAGATCAAATAAGTATCAAGAAATAAATTTTAAAAGTCTGATCTATTTCGTGCATATTTATTATAGAATGCCAAACATTTTAAAAACATGGAAGTAAATGTGAATATTTACATATTCAAAATGTACTAGCTACCCCTTTCCATAATTCTGGGAGATTGGGATGTGAGGAAAAAAAACAATACATGAACTAGTGCTAAAATTAGATTTTATATTGGAAAAGCTCAACTGCTTTTCATGTCTTTTGGACTCATCACTGGTACAAGTGTCTTATAAACAATTCTTAGTATATTTATTTTTAGCTGTAATTTTATGATTTCTGTAAGTTTTAAATAAGCATGAAGTAATTGATTAATATGCTTACAAAATTGTTCATGGGCTTGTTCATGGGCAGCATGTTCATCTGTCATTCTTTCATTGCTTTTTCTCCTGGCAGCTCTGGAGGCTTTCCAATTCATTAAGAAACGTCTTTCCATCTCTTGAATTTCTTTCCCATCGAGGGATTCTGCAAAAGAGAACATTTTCTGTGATACAAAGTGGGCTAAAGGGCTATAAAAAATTGTATGTAATGTATATTGGCTCTGTATTAATTCCTTTCAAGTCTTTTTTTCTTTTTCTAGTATTTTGGTAAAAAAATATACCTAATAAAGATTGATATTCATATTCAAGCTGCAAGAGTGAGTTAACATGTCTTAATTACAAAAAAAATCTACAGTTTTTATAACTTTCAAGGAAAATATAATCTTTCACATTTAACATGCAAGACTTTATAGAAAGTCCTGCAGAAAAGTTATGCTCTTACACAGGATATAGGTAAATGCAGAAATCCAGGTTGAGAGGGAAACTGCATGTCTTAGCAATCAAGAAATCCTACAGATCATGAAGACAGTCACACAGATTTGCCTCTCTAAGGTTAACTTTACTCACTTAGGTGCCATAAACCTTATGCTCTATGATTCATTGGTGGCATCTGCATTTTTGAGTCAGCCCAAAGGAAATACCTCATGTGGCCACAAATTTAGGTTGCATTAGAACTGTCCTAAGGCACTGTTATTTTCATTGTGCCGATAGGTTTTTTTCTTTTTCTTAATGGCCAATATTTTGTGCTCTGAGAAAAACCAAGTTCTGTAATTATAACTTTAAAAATAATTGCCACCTTTATCCAAAAAAGTAAAAAATAGCATTTTTTTACTTATTTCTACAGTATAAATATTTAGATATAGAAGAATCAGTTTCTTCCTTTCATGCTAAATTTTTATGCAAAATAATACAAACTGCACCATAAGGATTAACAAATACACTCAACATAAGTTTGAACTGCTTATAAGTTTAAGGATGAATGTTATATGACAAATTCAAACACAGTAAGATGGGATCAGCACAACTGGCACTGTACAACAAAAACACATTAGCAACTACTGGAGATTGATAGGGGAATAGATGAAACTGATCTTTGAAAACCAGTTTCACAACATCTGGAATATGAACACAAAAAATTGTCTTGTAACAATCTCACCAATCATCTATTATAAAACAAATGACTACTAATACCAAAAGCCAAACAAGATGGCTTGTGAAGTTGATTACATAAGCAGTTTTACCCTGTACATCAATGAAAAATTCATTATTTGACAGAAATACCTATAGCAGTAACTGTGTTTACATGCATAGTACTACTCAAGAACAACTAAATTTTCAGTTGTTTCCTAAAAGAGTGGAGGTTATGGGTGGGCTATTGATATTTTACCTAAAGTCTGTGACTGCACTATAATCCTATCCTTGTACTTTGGTTTTTGGCAGATGGGGTTTCCTGTAAGATCTATTCTGCGTAGCTTTGTCCATTTTTTTAATACAACCTCCAAATCCTGCAAGTGAAACAACAGAATATTGTGATTATGTTTCCCACTCCAGAGTAAAATTCAACAGTAATGTGATTTGTTCAGCCAGGCCCAAATCCTGCACACAGAAATAACTTCAATGAGACCATTCAATGTATTAATATGCACATTAAGAATGTGCATTTTCAAACAGAGTAGTCCACAGCATTCTCTGAATGTATCAAAACTGCACAGAAGAAATGATGATATTGAAAGATGCTGCATTTTTAAGGATACAGTAATGCCAGCTATGGAAAATGATCATTTCAATCCCACTGATAAGCACCCAAAGCCTAGGAACTACCAATGAAAAAATTCGTATTGTATGCAATGTCTGTTAATGTATCCTCAAGGTCTTACAGAGCCCTTAGAGTATCAGTGTGTGGAAGAATAAATACTTTATACAGATAAAGAACAGACTAAAAAAAAAAGCTAAAAATCATGTAATCCACAGTGGACTGTCTCTCTCTTTATATATATGTAGAACTGTATTTTACAGGAGAAACAGTAATCCCCCCTACCTAACTGTGGGTGGTCACTTATAGTATTGGCCTACACAGTGAAATTAGTGAAATACACCTTTCTCCATCTGAGTTTCTGTCTGGTTACCCAGGGGCAGTATGACCTAGATGAAACTACTCTGTCTTTTAAATGCAATAAATTCAAGTTAAAAACGTGCTAAGTTCAGCAGATTTGTCCTTTCCACTCAGACACCTTAATTTCTGAAATACTTTCTTTCCAAAATTTCATTTCACTCCCATTCTTGACAGACTTTCCTTGTATGTGTGAAAAGCTTAAGGAGGGATTCAAGACAATAGGTATAAATAGGAGAGAGAGGATTTATGTTCTACTGTTGTAATAATTTGGAAAAATCTATTAATCATGCTGCGACAGATTCTAAACCACAGTGTGTGTAAAACTTTGTAGCCTAATGCCAACAATGAAGTCTCCAGCAATGTAGATATCTCTTAGCTCCTTCTAATTTAGAAAATTGCTTGGGTAACATTGCTTTTGCTGGCTCATCTCCCTTGGAAGAAAATCCTCTTGGAAATATATGTTTAGAAAAATCACATGGAAGAGAAAGTGGCAGCACAGCCTCATACCTACAAGCCATATAATTTTTGGTCTACCTATGATGATGTTGTTATCATCTATTGTTATTCAGTGATAAAAATATATTTTTAGAAAACTAGTGAGCAAAAGTCTGATTCTGTGAGAATCAATACTGATAAAACAATGCAAGAAACTCTGAGGACTAGTCCACATGAAGAAATGCAAATAATTCTCATAATGTTATTCAGCAAGGCTTAATCAGCATGTATCAGGATAGCAATGTGGTAACTCCCATACTTTATGTGCTAAAACTTAATCATAAACAAAATTTAGGGGTAAAATATTTTAGGCTAGACTTATTAAAAAATAAAAATAATTTAGCAAGTATGTTTATTTATCCTTACCTAAGCATTCAGACAATATCACTGAAGTCTGTAATGCGTTCTAGATTTCATTAGAAAGAATTTTTCCAAGTAATAGTTTTGCAACACAAAGTTGTCTCTTACTGAAATAAAATGTATACAGTTTAACTTTGATGAATGTATACAAAGTCCTGTAGATTTTTGTTAGCTGTTACTTACTTGATAAATGACCCAGAACATGCTTACTCCAGTGTATGTTTATCTAAGAGCACACTAATCCTGTGCTGAAATATGATTACCCTTTCGATACGCTCTAGTTGTTCATTGCCTTCCTGTCTCTAATAAAGTGCTTTCACTTCCCAGCCTTTCAATAAGCTGTACTAAAGGGACCAGACACTCTTCTGGGCAGGCTCCGTTTGATAAATGATCATGTCATGCTATCACTCTGAGGTCTGCTACAAAATACTGACGAGCAAATTATATTCCATTGGGGAGGGTGGGGAGGGGGAAGGGCAAGTGCCTGAGTAGGCAGCTGCAGTGCTGGCACTAACTTTCTTACCAATTAACGGTGGCCATTTAAGAATTGGTATTTGACCAGTATCCTCCAGTTTTTATTGGAAACGTCTAATTCAACTGCCCCAGCTACATCTACAGACAGCAATTTGTCACCAGTTTGATTACCTGTCATAATCTATTTGAGAAAATCTATAATTTTTCTCTTGTCCCTGACTCAATTCTAAAGCGAATGAATTCATCTTTTGTGATATCCTCTTGTCATAATCAATACTGGGCAGAGGTTGAATAAATTAAAGACTTAGGAAATACAGATTTTTTCAGGGATTTCTAGCTGTATTTTTTTCTATCTATCCAAATACTCACACAACTCATAATCTTTCCAAAACGAATGAACTTAATAAATAAATTATATTCTGGCTCTTTGTAAAAAGAAATAGTTGTGAGGTTTTTTTTAGACATAGTGTTTATAAAAATTTCCTTAATTCCAACCCAAATACACTACAGTCTAGAAGACCTTATGATCCTGACTAAAGCAAACCAGCTTTCGAAGAATAAATGAAGTAGCAAGCAATAGAAAACAAAGAAAAGCCAATTCTGTTAAAATCAATTATATCCTTGATAATTGACTGGAGACATACTCTTTGCAAGTAGTAGCTAGTCATAGTTATTTTGCATGAATTCAGAAAAATTACTTGATTTTCTTCTGTCTACTGTTCAGACTGAATTATATAAACTTCAGTCAAGTGAAACAAGGTCATATGCCTTGATGTCTGTTAATTATGCTAACAAAGCCCTGTATTAGCCAGGACCTTAAGTGCTTGAATTTGTTAGTCCTAATTTTCAACTATGCTGAAATTAAAGCGGCATAGTTAAAAAGCAAAGGAATATGGGTTTTCATAATAAAGTGAAAAAAGTGAGAGAAATGTTTAAATATAAAATACCTATACTAACCACAAAAGTGAGAAAAGTCCACATAAGACTGTATTTCATGCATTTCTTATGCCCTTCATATTTTCCTCTTCCACAAAAATTCCATGTTATTCCTGCAGTTCACCAGACCTGCTCAGACACAGGCAGCTCCTCTACAGCTTCTCTTCCCACCAGGCGAATCCCAGCTGGGTACAGAGCTCTCTGACGCTTCTTTGTCATGTGGCACTGCCAGGATCTCTGATCAATGCCAGACATTCCTGAGGAAGTTCTTGACGGCAGTGATGGGAAAGCAAGAATGGGAAAACAGGGGACATAGTGCTTTTGGCATTAAAAAGAGGTAGACATCAGAATTTTGACAATAGAGGGGCAAGAGGGAGTAGAATGGAGGCAGCTGATGTGGGAATGAAAGAGCCTTTGCTGCATGTAACAAGTTCAGCCAGCAGAGCCCATTAAGTATACAGAACTGTATACCCCTAAAATCCTTGCAGCTTTCACAATTATAGAATAATGTATGCCATGCAATCATGAAATTCAGGGATGCAAAAAGAAATTGAAATATACTCAAAACTTCCCTCAGCTATTTTTTGAACAGTCTGTGGTTGTGTAAGATTGTTCCCCTGTTAGATGTCCACTGTGAGCTAAAGCCTCTTACACTGAGCTAAAACTGACTTTTAAAAAGATCCTTTTCATGGCTTACTGCTTTTTTCAACAGTTTGGAATTTATTTAAGAATTTATATTAGTGATAAGTAGAGCCTACCAAAATGTAATCCCTTAAAACTCAGTAAATTGTAGCTGGAAAACTGGATATCCACCTGCATGACACTATATATTAAACACATTTAATATGTTAATTAATTTTACAGGACTGCTAAGATATGAATAGAAACACCTTCCCTGTGCCATATATTTCAAAACTTGGAGATTGTTTAGAAAACACACAGGACATTTGCTTTCAAAATACACTGGAGCTTAATCCGAGTGTAATGGATAGCAAACTCAAATGCTAATTGTATAATTTTTCAACAGTTGTGACCATGTAACATAGAAATCTACAGGTCTAACTGATTTGGGTAAATATAATTCTGTTTTTCCTGATGATTAAATAATGAAATTGAATAAAGAATAAATAATATATAATGTATACACAGTTACTGAACAATGCAGTCATTTTGTCCTCTCCTTATTCTGTTTCAGAGGATATTGGTTTTTCCTATGAGATACTGAAAACCCTGTGTCCAGACTGGCATCCTCATTCTTAAAATTAATTGGTTCTTTGGCTATGACAATTTTCTTTTAAAATCATCACAACAGAAGTAAATTTTATTTATAAAAAAGAAAGAGCCAATATAAAAATCTCTGTAATATGTTTTATTTAGAAATGGATCCGTTTTAAAAAGGGAAGCTTTGGGGAGATTGCCTATTTGAAAAAAGCCTTTTTCTATTTTGATGTAACCAATACATGCAATGTGATTTTAATTATTTAGCAAAAGCCTACATGAATTACATTTTGATGTAAATTCAATCACAACAGCCATCCAGGACTTGAAATACAAAGCATTTATAGTTCTATACTAAGAAAGAGGGGCATCATTCAACATTTTTTAATATTAAAGTGTAAAAAATTGAAGAGTCCAAATAGAGTAAATTCATGCGTTATGCACACAAAATACTGCAATCTCCACACTAGTAAAGAGAATTGCCAAATTATCTCAACAATCTGTTAAAAATATGTTGTGTTCTCAGAAGTAATAAGAATAGTTATTTTAATAATTACTAACCAATGAAAGTTAAGTTTACTAAGGAAATAAAATGTTTATGCAAACCAGAAATTAAAGTTTAATTCAATCAAGACTTTGTCTTGGTGATTTCGGTTATCATTTAAGCCAATTCATTTCAGTATTAATCAATAAAAATATAAATTTTGACATCCTAGGTAAATGCTTCTCCATTTTTAGTCTCAGTAATTCAATCAAGACTTTGTCTTGGTGATTTGGGTTATCATTTAAGCCAATTCATTTCAGTATTAATCAATAAAAATATAAATTTTGACATCCTAGGTAAATGCTTCTCATTTTTATATGAGAAAAGACAGCATGCTTGACAAGCCAGATTAAGTAACTGCAGAAACAATTTTTTTTTACTTATATATTTAGTGATAAAGATGAATGTGACTAATTTCTTAACACCCATACTCCATATAACAAATATTTACTTTAATACCTTCATATGTTTAAGTCGATTGTCGACTGCTTTAAGATAAGAAAGATTTTCCAAAACTGCCAGATCTTCTAATTCATCAATGTTGTTATTGCTGATATTCAATACAGACAAAGATTTCTGAAGGAAGATAAGCAGAAAAAGAAGTATTTTTTTCATGCCATGTATGAGTCAAGTTGTAAATTATTACAGAAAATGATCTTAAAAGATGAACAAACATATGAAAAAACATGCAAACACCACCTCGACAAAACATACAGATTGTTTTATGTTAGCATTCCACCTTGTCCTAAAATGTAATTTATTCTGTTTTTGAAGTGAAACCAAAGCAAGATTGTTTCTCAATTATTTCAGAAATTCTTAGCAAGTACATAATTTTGGTTTTTTTTAAAAAACGTTCAAATTCTTTACAGAGTTCTGCAAGTGCTACTAACTCTACTTTTGAAGTATGAAATATACATTGAAACCGACTGGCTTTTTATAGAATCATAGTATGGTTTGGGTTGAAAGGGACCTTAAAGATCATCTAGTTCCAGCTCCCTGCCATGAGCAGGGACACCTTCCCCTAGACCAGGTTGTTCAGAGCTCCATCCAACCTGGCCTTGAACACTTCCAGGGATGGGGCATCCACCACTTCCCTGTGCAATCTGTTCCACTGTCTCACCACCCTCACAAGCAGAGAATTTCTTCCTAATAGCTAATCTAAACCTGCCCTTGATCAGTTTCAGGCCATTACCTTCTATCCTATCACAGCACATCCTTGTGAACAGTGCCTCTCCAGCTTTCTTATAAGCCCCCTTTAGGTACTGGAATGCTGATACAAGGTGTCCTCTGATTCTCCAGGCTGAACAACCCTAACTTTCTCATCCCGTCTTCATAGGAGAGGTGCTCCAGCCCTCTGATCCTCTATGTGGCCCTCTCTGGACTTGCTGCAGCAGGTCCATGTTCTTCTTATACTGTGGGCCCCAAGATGGTATCTGAACTGCAGAGCTGAAGCCCATACGTGCCACCCACATTGTCTCATTTAAAAGCTGGACTACACTGCTTTTCTTTCAGGCTTGATCCTACAAACCCCTTGTCATCCATACCTCTGATCCTTACCCCTTTTCTGGAACAGTACTGAGTCACATATTGTACTTTGCCATTTGTAACAGACAATAGTTACAGAGATCTTTACATGTTAGATACATATCTAAACATGTCTCAGGTGTTCATCTCAGGAAATATTAATGTAGTTTCACATAAAAGGAAAAAGTTTCTATCTCTAGAAAATGAGAAGGGACTTCTAATCCAGTGAGTTTAGAATTATACAAGGTATAAGATTTACCATTAGTTGGAAAATCTCTATTTCAGCAGTTTATATAGGAAAAATAACACACTTCAAAAATTTGACCAAGATCAAGATTCAAGATTTTACCATTGCAGATGGAAATTACCAGTATCATCTTGATAAACACAGTTCATAAATTTAATCTTCTCAGTCAGATTCATGACATTGTCATCAAAATATTTGCCTGTGCTACACACAGAGTTATACAGCCTCATGATTTTTTATCTATTTTATCTCTGACACCATTAAAAGAGCCAGAAACAAATGAAGAAGTAAAAAGAGATGCCTTTAAAAGGCTCCAAACACTTAGTACTTGAAGGATAAAATAGAATATTTTTACATTTAGCCTCCACAAAGAAGTTATATCGTCAAGAATGCAAAGTTGTTTCATAGAAGACAAAAGAAACTCCACATCAAAAGGCCTTAAATAAAAGCCACAAAAAACAAAATCTAGACCAGGCTGCTGAAAAACAAGGAAGAGTTTATTATACATTATTATTCTGGGAAGATTATAGCTATAAAACTTCCCTTTACTTTGATAATTTCTTCAATATAGAAGGAACAAAGTACAAATGCTCTCACAGTAATGACTCATTTCTATTAAAGAAAACCAGAAATACATGGTTTGGATTGCATAATCTCAAAACAGGAAAAAAGTAGAGCTAGATCAAATATTTATGATATACGTGTAAATAAATGAACTCACTTTTTAGTGAGGTTTTCATCTTCACAAAAAAAAGGCTCATCAAGCCCTGACTACACTATGGGAGATACAGCAAGAGGAATTTTTACAGTACAGAACTACATCCATTAGCACATAAAGCCTATTTTTAACCTCTTCAACTGTATGTTTTATGTTTTCTGAGCAATTAACATGTTGAAAGACAACTTCAAAAAGATTTCCTGAACTCTTGACATAACAAAACATAGAACTGCAGAACTAAAACTGAATGCTTTTGATTGTGGTGTTCTTAATATCCAGAAAAAAAAGCTGTTTGTGCCTTTTTTCCCCTTCCATTTTTCTACAGAAATACAAAAGGCAATAAATAAACAACTATACCAATCAAATCACCAAAATTTCAGCAAACTAATTCACTACAAACAAAATAGACTAAGAAAACCAAGAGTGACAAATTCCAACCCCTTTTTTATTTTATTCACCTTCTGTTGGTATAGGGTATCCACACACTTCCTTAATTCCTCTCTTTATTCTCATTTTCATCCTTCATAATGAAAAAAAAGAGGAAGTAGAAATTGCTGGACTCCTTGTAAGATAATTAGGGTGGGAGTCTTTTGGCAGGATTTTAAATAGTGTTACCAATTGGCAGAGAAGGAAAACACAGAGTGATCAACTCCTAATCATTTCTCCTAAAAATGCTGATGTCCTGATAATTGGCTCATTGAAATTTTCAAAATGTACTTACTGCCAGGGAGTTAAGAGATACTGGATCAAAAAGAAGCTTTTCACCGAGAGGGAGATGTTGATTTTCAATATGTAGCTCTCTTAGTTCTCCTACTTTATCCAAACCCTCTACTACAGTGATATAGTTGCCTCCTAAATAGCTACAGAAGAGAACACAAGATAGATTTAATATCCTTTGAAAGGAAGAGCAAACACAAGGCTTCGATATATACAGAAAAATATTTTTCAAGCATTATTGAATAATACTTGGAAATTGTGATAGAAAAAGTAAATAACCTAGCATACAAGTAGAATATACACTTAACTGATTCAAGCAGTTTTTTGCAGTTTTATCTACTACTATAATAATAATAATAATAATTATTATTATATTATTATATTACTATTATTATTACAAGACTAAAAAAATAGAATTATTTAAATGTAAATATATATGTCAAGATGATATGTCATTACTTTTATCACAGGACATCTCATTAAAAAATAAAAAGCAATTATTTCTATCTGAAAAGCAAAATTTAAGAGCTGAAAGGACCTTAATGGCTACATAATTTAAAAAATTTCTTAAGTGTCATATCTATTCTTTTTACTAGTAAAATAAATCCATTATTTTCAACTTACAGTTTTTCAAGTCTTTTCAGTGATGAGAGATTTTCTATACTTGAAATACGATTGTTCTGAAGGTAAAGGTGTGTTATATTTGAAGCAAAGTCCAAGTTCTGGATCTGGTTGATTTGGTTATCATATAAATACAGAACTCTCAGATTTTTACAGAAAGAGAGGTCACCCTGAAATAAACAATAGCATGCTACTTAATGTTCACTCACTGCCTGCTTCTGGAAGCTATTGATTGCTCTTATATTTAAGTTCTGATGCATGATTTATCAATTTTCACCTTTAGTATACATTTCTTAAAACTATATTTCCTATAAAAACAGTTATATATTGTCAGTTATCGACAGATTAAAGACTGAAATCTGTCATTACCATTTTGCCATACAGGCATCACCAGCAAATACACCACATCCAGTGTGATTTCATTCCCTTCCCTGTCTTCATCAGATGGATTTCAAAAAGCACAGGCTTTAGTGCAGTTGTCTCCATTAAACTGCACTGATGTAACTAGAAACCAGTTCTAGGCAAAGAATTATTGGTTTATACAAAACCTTGCAATTCAATCTATTTTAATATATTTCTGGACCCAAATTTACACTCAAATGTTGCATTTCTTTGGACATATTCCTATGAAACAACTCAAAGGGCCACTCCTCATGAAGGTTTCTGTAAAACTTTGCTGTGGCAGACAATGAACCAGACCTCATCAAATGGACTGATCCAATTAGTAACTTGCTATGGCTGCACACGTTCCTAGGAGTGGGCTGCATAAACTCATTTGCTTGCAGGGATCTGTTCACACAGAACAAGCGATTTCTTCTTGACTGAAATCACACTTTTAGAGCAGAAATTCACCACATTCAACAATGCAGTTGTTCAAGGCTCAGCAGTTTCAAAATGTACTCAGTATCTTGAGGGGACCTGAATTAACTCAGAACTTACTGAAACCCTGTATGCACTTCCTATTATTAAACTCAGAGGAAGGAGAACTGGGTTAAGTTTGCAGGTTTAGTCTTTGGAAATGGAAAGCTCATGGATTATTTTTTTAAATGAGTAAGCCCCAGGGAGCAAGTAAAAAAAAAAAAAAGAAAGAAAAAAATAGGTGTATTTTTAACCTGGCTAATTTGAAAAAGCCACTACACCAGTCCAAATTTGTTAACCTCACTCGGGTTATTTCCTGTTCCTGAACTCTCCTTTCCTTTCTCAGACTTCCTCTGAAATTTAAGGAATAAATCACAGATTGAAAGATTGTGCTGTGAGTTAACACATTTGTAAAACTTGGCTTTCCTTGTTTGTCTCTCCAACAATGAACACATAACAAACACATCATAACAGTAACTACAAAACATTAGAATAGCCAGTTTAAGAGGAATAATAATAATAATAATAATAATAATAATAATAATAATAATAAAAAAAATCCCTTACAATTGAATCTATATTTTTATCTGACAAATTCAGATGAGTTATTTTTTGCAGATATTGTCCAAAGTCCTCTTCACTACGATTCTTGTGATTGGCATTTTTAGCAATCAGGTCCATTGTTAGTCGAACCATGGTTCTGTAATAGGTCAAGCTGCTTTACTACTTCTTTTAATTGTGTATTCCACGTGTTCTTCTAAGTAGTATTACAGAATGCCTTAAAAACAAAAAGGAAAATGTTATACTACTTGCATCCCAGATCTTCAACAAAGCTTACATGTGTACTTCAAATCTGACACATCCTCACCCTTTTCATGCCCTTTTCATTTACAGTGATGCTATGCTGCTTATAAAAACCTACCCCTTTTATTGCTGGTATTTTATCAGGTTTTTGGTGTATTAATAACATTTAAAATATTTTTTCTATTTGATTTGTTGAATGAGTTTGCTTAAGAATATTATATCCTGGTTTTCGTCTTTTTCATACAGAAGTATGAGTGCAAGGCTCCATAGCAGGCATGATTCTCACACATAGTAGCTAGTTAATGGAAGTTCATAATCTGATTATAAATTAGAAAATACAAGACACTCCAAACAGGTTTTACAGGCTGTAAGAGGTGGTATTAAGCCACAGGACTCTTTATATATCTGCACAGCACTTTCGTCATGCACACAACTGCTTGCTCTGCACAGTCAAAAACTGAGTTTTTCCCACTAAGGCATACTATCGAGGCTCTCACAACAATACCAATTTTTTTTTCCAAACTCTGGCTCATATAGGTCAGTTTATAAATGACAGAACGGGGGAGAGGGAAGAAGGCAAGTGGCCAATATTGAACGGGATGCATAAACGATCTGGGGATAAAGATACCCTAACAGATATAACTTAATGACTCAGAATAGAAAGGTCACCTATTTAGCCAGTACAAATATGAATGTATCTTATGTATTATAGCTTATACACAAAAGCCCCACATTAGTGTATCAGAAAAACTGAGGAGACAGCAAAAAGCATCCCAGTGCTAAGCCTCGCACAGAGAATCATCCCTGCCAGCATTACATGGAGGAGAAACTGAAGAAAAGCCAAGATCGAGGCTGTGAAGGCAGAAGAAACTTCCTTTCTTAATAAACTAATCTGAAGCTCAGTACCTCTCCTTTATCCGTACGGGATTTGCTTTTAACTTTTATTTTAGAAGGTGGAGATGAAGGAGAGCTTTGTGGGTTGCTTGTTTTTCTACTGTGAGTTTCTTGCTTGTTATATAAAAACACCTTTCTGAGCCCCTTCTCAAACCTTCTTCCAAACCCAGCGGAATAAGCGAGGGAAAGCCGGGCAGGTCTCCCTCCCAAGGTCCCCAGCTCCTTCCTACCTACATCCGTGCGATTTCACACCGCCCTCCCCGTCCCGTGGCCCCGCCACCGGCCACCTCCCAGCTCGGCCGGTGGGCAGGCGGCTCTGAGGGCGGGCACGGGCCGGGATCCGCTCCAGGCGCCCTCCCGGGAGGAAGCGCCCCCGGCGCGGCCCCGCTCTCCCCTCAGCCCCGGCCCGCGCGCGCCGCCGGCCACGGTTGCCGCGGCAACTGCACGCCAACCGCTACTGGCTGCGGCGCGCGCCCCTCAGACCAATCAGCGCCGAGGAAGGAGAGAGCAGGGGCGGGGCTTTCTTTGCGCACCCGCAGATACGATCCCCACGCGGCTTGGCACGGGCCGGCCTGGCTGGCCGCCATGTTGAGAGGCGGGGAAAAGAATGTCCTCAGTCGGAAGGGTCCAATTCCTGCATGAGGCACCTCAAAAGTTACACCATGTGCCTGGGTGCATTGTGCTAATGCTTCTCGAACTCTTGTTAGGCTTGGTGTTGTGGCTGCTTCCCGGAAGAACCCATTCCAGTGCCCAAGCACCCTCTATTTGGAAAACCTTTTCCTAATATCCAATCTAAACTGACACAACTTCAGGCCATTCCTTCGAGTCCTGTCAGTGGACGCCATAGAGAAGAGATCAGGGCAAGACCTTGCACTTTCCCTCATGTGGAAATCGTAAACTGCAATGAGGTCTTCCCCTCAGGGTCGTCCAAGCTGAACAAAAAAGGTGACCTCGGCCACTCCTCATACAGCTTCTTCTCCAGACCCTTCATTATCATCCCTGCTTTCCTTTGGACCCTCTATAATAGCTTAATGTCATTTTATACTGTGGTGCCCAAAACTGCACGCAGGACTGTTGCAAAATGTGGATTATGTAAAAAAAAAATTTAGGATGTTTTAAATGTTTGATCTTTGTATACTTTCAAGTCTAACCAACAAGGGAGGTTTAACTCGTGAAACAGCACCTAACAAGCAAACTCTAAGTGATATCTAAGATATCTAGAAGAACAAATTACTTGCTTGTAGAATTGCCTTGCTAAAGTTTAGGGCTTGACATGCTTCAATGATCTGAGACCAATAGGGAGGTTAACAAAGCTTGTGAAAAAGGATGCTGGCTGATACTGGGCACAAAGAATGCAGAATTTATGACCTACAAAGACATCTGGTAGAACTTTCAAGATAAGGGAGAAACTAATAAAGTCAACTCAGCAATTGTGATGAAACCAGCTCCAACTGAGTCAAAGGTGATTCTGGCAGGGGGAGATTTGCAATCTTTTTGCACTGACCCAAAAGCATCTGGACTAATAAGCATAAGAAGCAAGCAAATTGTTAGCCAGTAGTAGAATATGAATTCATGAGAAAACTTATCAGCCAATGAACACCAATTCCTTTATTTGCTAAAATGTATAAATTGTAAAAATTTTTGGTAGCTTGTGTTCTTGATTTGTGAAATTCTATCAGGCACATAAGTTTGTGCAATTTTGAAATAAATAATCAATGTCTCAGTGTAATTATTTGCTTGTTGCACACCAGGTAATAAGTACAGTTTTTGTGGACAACAGCACTGGAGGTGAGGCTGCCCCAGCTCAGAGCAGAGCAGGACAATCCCCTTCCTTGCCCAGCTGGTGATGCTGTGCCTGATGCCCCCAGGACAGGGTTGGCCCTCCTGGCTGCCAGGGCACTGCTGACTCATGTTCAACTTTCTGTTGACCAGGATCCCCAGGTCCCTTTCTGTCGCCTTGCTTTCCAGCCTCTCATCCCCAGTCTGTGCATATATCCAGCCCCTTCCCAGGTGTAGAATCCAGAACCTGGCCTTTGTTAAACTCCCTACTCTTGGTAATTGCCCATCTCTGTAATTTGTCCCAGAAGAAGTCTTTGAAACCTGTTAATGCAGATGGGCTTTGAAAAACATCCCCCATGCTGCCCATCCCTACAAAGAGTTCTTTGTCTTATTAATGTCTTTGTCTTATTAATGGGTATGTGTTTTTAAATCGTGTTAACCAGCAGTTTTTCTATTTGGTGTTGCCTCTTCTTCCTCCATGCCAGGCTTTTTTAGTGAGCATAGGCTACTGGCACAACCAAGATTATATGTTTCCTTTCCCTCATGCTTGAATTGGAGAAGTTAATAGTTTTATAAAGGGAACGGATACTGTATTTAACAGCAAAGTTCTACAAAAAAACGTGTTAGCAAATGTTTAATGATTTTTTTTTTAAATGATGAAACATTATTCCAGTTTATTGTTGGTTTGTTGGTTGTTGGTTTTGTTTTGGTTTGTTTAATCAATTGTATCACACTTTCTAGTGCCTTTACAAAAGCCAACTAATTAGTTGCTGATGAGACAAAAGAGGGAGGAGTGGCTGATACTCCAGTGGGTTGTGCTGCCATGAGGAAAGACTTCAACATGCTGGAGAAATGAGCCAAGGGGAGGCCAAAAAAGTTCACCAAGGGAATGTGCTAAGCCTGGCCCATGAGGAGGAACAGCTCCAGGCACCAGCATGGACCAGCTGAAAAGCAGCTTGGCAGAAAATTACATGGTGGTTCTGGTGGACACCAAACTGTTCAGTGTAGCAGCAAGGAAAGCAAATGGTATCCTGGGCTGCCTTGGAGGAATATTGCCAGTTGTAGAAGGAGATCCTACCCTTTTTATTTAGTGCTGGTGAGGTCACACCAGGAGCGCTGGTGTCCAACTCTGAGCTCTTCAGTACAAGAGAGACATGGATATACCAGAGAGAGACCAGCTAAGGGCTGTTAAGATGATGAAGGGACTGGAGCATCTCTCTTTTAAGGAGTAGTTGAGAGAGCTGGGGCTGTCCAGTCTGGAGAAGGCTCAGGGTGTTTCCTTCCAATGAAACCAAGATTGTAACTACATATCTCTTATAGGAAAAAGGACACAAAATGCTGTTAGGAACAAACGTGGTTTATTATGTAAAATATGTCTGAAATAACTTGTTCCAATTAATTTCAGTTTGGGTTTTATGTTTTCAAAGGTAGCAAATACAAGATTCTCAAAAATAAGCAGCAGAGCAAATATTGGAATGGGGGTTGTGGGGAGTGTCAGTCCTTCCTGCTTAGGGGAAGACTCTTTATACTATTGCCTGTTCCAGCAAGGGCTTCCACAGAGTCAAAGCCTCCTTCAGGCACATCCACAGGCTGCAGGTGTCTGTCTGCTCCACCATGGACTTCCATGGGCACATCTTGACTCACCATGGTCTTTGCTATGGACTGCAGGGGAATCTCTGCTCTGGAGCCTGGAGCCCCTCCTCCTCCTACTCCCCCTCCTCTGATCTGGGGGGTCTGCAGAGTTGTTTCTCTCCCATATTCTCACTTGTGTTTCCTAGCTGCTGGTGTTGCACAGGTTTTTCCCCCCACTTCTTAAGTATGTTATTCTGAGGTGCTACTACCATCACTGATGTGCTTGGCCTTGGGCAGTGATGGGTCTGTCTTGGAGCTGGCTAGCATTGGCTCTATCATGGAGGGAACTTCTAGCAGCTTCTCACCTAGTATGGAGAAGCCACCCTTGTATCCTGTCCCTATTACCTGTCCTGCCAGGTGGGTCTGTCCTTTGAGGTTATCAAGGCTCTGGCTGCCAGGCACAGCTGTGAGCTGCAGAGCCAGGGTAGGGCTGGGAGTGTCTGTGATGGGCTTTGGCCCTATGACATCCTAGGGGACGGGTCACAGTGGGGCTGGTTTTCAGGGCCAGAGGTAAACACGTGAGGAGAGGCTGGGCTGGGCAAGAGCTGGGACAGAAATGTGGATTCTCACCCTGCATCAAGAGCCCAGGCCCCTGCCAGCAGCCTCACTCTTTCCCCTACCTGCTTCCATCTCTGTTCA